TAGATAGATAGATAGATAGATAGATAGATAGATAGATAGATAGATAGCTGGATGGATAGTAAGATGGAAGAGTAAGGGATGCTGGTGGATGAGTAGGTATAATGGCAGATGTTAGGGTGGGTGGCTAAGTGGGTGCATAGATAATGGATTGATGAGCAGGTGGGTAGATGGATGGATCAATGAGCAAGTTGATAGTTGAGTGAATGAGTTAATCGGCGTGTACAGCAATGCCCTGCATTATCCATTTGCCTATTTCCTGGCTTTCTGTAATCTATATCCACACTTATGGCTAGCTTTCTGGGAACAAAACTCAACCAGAATTCTTCTGCGGCTCCCAGTGTCCAGCCTGGTGCTAGATGTGTATTATAAAAGACCCGCTGTAAGCATTTAGGCAAACATAAAGAAAGCCATGTCTTTTTATGATGCACAGAGGCAGGCGAAAAAGCACAGCAGTGGGTGTTTTATTGCCTATTTCAACTTCCCTGTATTTTAGAGGTTTCATATAAAGAGTATGTGTGGCTTTCATAATGAAAAACAGATCTGTAGCCTGGCTTCCCAGACTGCGCTTCTGGAGCCGAGAACCTGTTCCTATAATGACTAATGTTCCCGTGGGCTAAGTCTATCTCCCACATCATCAGCCTCCTGATCACTGCAGAAGAAACACACCTGAGATGTCTCATCCAGACAAGCCTTAGATGGATGGAGCCTATTCTGGGATGCCTCTTAGGAGGCTGTGTTACCCCCACATAGTTGACTCTGTACCAACAGGTCCCTGGCTCCCATGAAAGTTGAATCCCCAGGCAGTGGCATGACCAGGGCACAGCAGGAGGGCCTGATGCCACCTGCCTCTCACTGCACAGTAACCTTGAGAGTCAGCCCCAACTTCCTCGTGTGTAAACTGGGTTGACGTCAGAACATGTAGGGAACCCATTCCTCGCGGTGGTAAGATAGCGGTGTCTACACAGCACTCTACTCCGTATGGCTCAGCATTCCCAGTCATCATCTGGGATCATCTGCACTTGAAGATGGGCACCTGAGGCTCAGGGATGGCTTCGGATGACACAATCCAAATATGGAGGTGCAGCTTCCTGGGCTCCACCCAGGGTCATTGTCATCAAAATGTGTATTTAAGGCACAGGAATAGAAGACTGTCTAACACATAGACACTAACTCTTCTTGAGTGTGCATCTGTGTGGGTGTGTGGGTGTGCATGTGTGTATATGTGAGCATGGAGGCCAGCGGTCAACCTTGAGTCACGGTTCAAACACTATCCACCTTGTTTTGGTGAAATAGGGACTCTCACTGTCTTTGGGACTCAAGAATTAGGCAAGGTTGGTAGCCAGCAAACCCTAGAGAACCTCTTGTCTCTGCCTCCCCAGAGCTAGGATTACAAGTTTATACCATTGTACCTTTTATTGAGTATTAGTGGTCATTCCTGAAGTTGGTATAGCAATCATTTTATCAAATGAGCCCCGTTTCCAGATTTTCCATGCCTCTAAACATGACCCTTCATCCATGTAACACCTCTCTCAATGACCAGTGTTCACCATGAGTTCAGTCAGACACCACAGTGGCTATTAACATCAGCCTATAAGCTGCCCAGGGGCAGAGCTGTGCCTATTGGTCCTGGCAGATGTGGTGTAGGTTGGCCATAAGTGCTCAGTGCATACTCATGAACAAATGAACAGAAAGGAAGGGTGTTCCATTTGCCAGTGTCCAACCCCAAGGGTCCCCGGTTGCTTACCTCCTCCTGCATGTTTCTCTTCAAAGTTGGCCAGCTGGCTCTTCTGCTGTGCCTCCTCCAGCTGCTGCTGAGCTTCCCCCAATGCCTTCTGCACTTGCTGGTACTTAGCCTGGAAGAAAGGCTTGGTGATGGCTGAGGTTTGGAAATGAAAGGGTTTCTCCTCCTGATCCTCCACATGGCACCGTGAAAGTCTTCATGTCTCCGGGGCCCTGGAAGGTACTACTGTGGTTCTTGTGCGGACCTCACTTTACTTCTTACAGGGGCGATTATAAAGGGAGGGAGCCCAGCGCCTCCCCATCTTGAGCTGTTTGGTTCAGTGATCTTTCCTTCCTGCCACGATGCCAACTACTCTTAGGCTTTTTCCAGATGCTGAGCCAATGGGCCAGCCCAAGGCCTTCGCCCTCCAGAACCGCGAGCCAGCTTACTTTATCAAGAAACCCACTTTGAGGTATTCCACTGTAGCAACGGAAGTGGACTCAGCCGGACAAGACCATCCACTTCACATGTGCCCATCCAAAGCCAGGGTTTGGTCACCTGTTACACACTCCTTTGACAAGAATAGTATCCCCTGCATTTTTCCCACCCAAGGGTCCTCCAAGGTCATGGATCTGTTACATGTAGCCTCCATTGCTAAGGTCACTCTCCACAGTACCTCTCAGGCCTTGCCTTGGAAAGACTTAACTGTCCCTAGGAGCAGGACACAAAAGTCAGCAGGTGTATCTCACGTGGGCTGGAGGTCCTAGAGAAGCCTAGTAACCAGGACAAACCACTTCTGACCACCCACTAGATCCCCATGACCCCTCACCTTGAGCTCCTGAACCTCTCGGAGCGCCTGAAGTCGCTGTGCCTGTTCGCTCTCCAGTGCCTGCCAGGCTATATCACCTTTGAAGCATTCATCAGCAAGCTCTGAGGTCAAGTCTGTGATCTGAGGAAGAGAAAGCAGGAGTCTGCTGACACTCCTTCCTTCCACATACCACACACAGCAGAGGACCATCCTAGAACAAGCCATTACTAGGGAGAAGAGAGGCCAACTGCTCTGTAAACGAGAGACTGAAAGCTCATCCTTCAGGATGTACCTGTTCCTGGTGTGGGAGAACTGTCACCCAGCACACACTAAAGGGGGGGTAACTAACAGAACCAGTGTGGGGAGTAGGTGAGAAGAACCCTGGAGAGTTTAGTACAGTGCCTGGTATACAGTAGGCACTCAACTAAGGACAGGTGCTTAGCAGAGGTTCTCAGCTGTCAGGGAACCTGAGCTGGCCTCTGGGACTGAGCGTCCCTGTCCCTGAAGAAGACACATCACAGTTGGATGTTCCATGTGGTGCTCTCTGTGGGTCTCTATGAGCTGTGGCACCAGCTCTCTGCCTTCCCAGCCTGTCTTCCATAGGTACACCTGACCTGTTATCTGTTGGTAGTGATTACATAGACCCGTTAAGAAGGGGACAGGGGATTAACAGGACATATGAGCTGGGTGCTTCTAAAGGAGTTGAGGAAGGCGCCTCACTTCCTGCTGAGCTGACAGACACAGGCACCACCACCATAGGAGGGAAAATAAAGTGGAAAGCTAGCCTCTGGGTTCACAGCGCTTTCTTCTTGGCTGTTAGACAAGGTGTATAAGGGTGTGTATGCGCGCATGTACGCATACATACACAACATGGTCTCATGTAGCCCAGGCCATTCTTTAACTCTAGATAGCTGAGGATGGATGACCTTAAACTCCTGATCCTTCTGGGATTACAGGCATGGCCCAAGTATATGCCATGCTGGGGATGGAACCTAGGACTTCGGCGTGTATTTTCAACTATAAGTATGATATAAATAAAGTCAAGAGTCAGAGAAGGGGAAAAGGAAGCAGGAATAGGGTCAAGTCTAAGAATGGCTTCCTCATTCAATCTCCCAGTCAGGGTCTTGACCGTGGGAGTCGCACACTGCCGAGAGAGGTAGGTCTTCTGTACCTTGGCATTCAGACTCTGGGTCATATTGACACACTGCCTCATATATGTAATGAAACATGATTTCACCCATCCATCTCATTTCCTCAACTTGCCTCATATCTCTCAATACACCACCTCCCAACTTTGTCTTTTCTAACCCATCAAGCCCAGTTAGGGCTGCCCGCATGTGCACGGGCCATCAACGGGAGCCCTGGAGATGGCCATAAAGGGTGACTCGCCCTTTTTTTCAATGTTTTTGGTCAGGTGAGTGCAGCACAAGGTGCCCACTCCTTCTCGGAGACAGTCATGAGGCCCCGTTGCCCTGAGTTGCTTATCTGTGCTGTGGATTTAGTTTTAATGTTTTTCTGCAATCAGAAAGCAGAACACTGTTGTGAACAAACGTTCCTGGGAAGAGCCCCGCCTCCCACACAACTCTGCAAGGCTGACTGGCTGCCTCCAACTTCAGTCACTTGGGAGGCTGGAGTGGGGCAAGTCCAGAGTCTAACACAATTTGTCTTGGGCTCTGTAGCCTGTTTGCTAGCCCTGTTCTTTGTCTGACCTAACAGCCAGTGACGCCAGGTGAAACCTTTGGTTGTGTATTAGCACACCCCTAGCTTCCTAGTCACAGGCTGAGAATGTTCCAGCGTCTGTGGCCTGTGGTAGAATTTCCTCGTTTTCTATAAACTACACTGCTGTTTCCACCAACATACTTAAGCAGGGTTGACTCTCGGTATCTTTGCTCCATTGCTGTAACACATCATAGAATGGCCACCACACTGAACTGTGGAATTATGGGTAGCCTGAATCTGTGTCCAGATGTGATCATTCATGTATGGCTCCAGAACAAATGACCTCTGAGGTGAGAGCTGTGTTGTTGGGAAAACAGTTGCACTACTCAATTGAGGCCACCGTGTGTTCTATACACTCTCTTTCCCACTCGAGCCCATCCTTGCTCTACTGTGACCCAAATCTTCAGGGGAAACAGAGAGCCGGGAGTAAGAGATGGTGAAGAACTCTCAGATCACAGAGCAAGCAAGCAGCAGAGCTGAGACTTGAACTCACATCTGTCTGCTGCAACTGGCACAATGGCCACAGATTGGGGTTTTCAAGGGCTCTGGGTGGGTGGCCTCTGAGAGGAGCCTGTCTGCTCTTCCTCAGCCTTCCGGCTTTATTAGTGCATCAGAGAAGCCCTGCACACTTCAGAGTTTGTTAAAGTGCAATTTCCCTACCAGAGTTCCCAAGGCACAGCCAAGAAGCTGAGCTCAGGAGTAGAGGACAGAATCACAGTGTCCCCCTCCCCCTAACCCAGGCCTCTCTTTGTTTTGGGCAAGTTAGATTTGTTTGTGGCCCTGTGAACAGTCCCCAGGACTGAGAAGATGATCATTACAATCCAGGAACATCCAGGGCCACACTCCCAACCACCACCCACCCTGGGAATCGGCCTTGATCCCAAGCAGGGGTACAATGATGGCTTGCTTAGACAATTAGCATGAAATTTAATTTGTGTTAATCTGCCTGAGCATGGGGAGCACAAAATTAATTTAATGAATTAATTTTGAGTCTCATGAAACCCACAGTCTGGAGCCTGAAGGTCAGTCAGTTCTTTCAGCTACCAGAGACTACAGGATGTTTTCACATGGTCAAGTCCACACAAACCTGCCCCTTCCTTCTTCGCTCTCCCCTCCTCCCCATTCCTCTCCTCCCTCCTGTCTTCCTTTCTCCTTCCTCTCCCCCTCTCTCCCTCCACTCTTCTTCCCTCTCCTCTCCTTCCCTCAGAAGCAGGGGTAGAAGCCCTCTCTTTGGAGGGTAGGTGGAAACTCCACGCTCAGAACTATGAAAACCAATTTTAGGATGATCTGGCTTGCAAACATAGTGGAGTTTTTACAGATGCCAGGAAATTGCTTTGACAGCCCTCCCCAGATCCACCGAGTGCTGGAATCAGCAGAAATGTCCTTTCTACTTAGGGACAATGGCCCGGGAGGACAAACTGGACAGAAGGGAACAGGAATGTCTACCTGCTTTTACAGAGTCTAAGAGAAAGGTCTGGCCTGGTGGCACAGGCTGGTAACCCCGGAGACCCAGAGACTGAGGCAGAAGAACCATGTGTTCAACCTGAGTGAAAAAGCAAGACATTGTCTGCAAGGGAGGGTAGGTTTGCAACTCAATGGTGTTCACAGAGCATTGCAAGTCTTAGATCAATCCCCAGTACTGAGGGAAAAGCATTCAGTACAGTGTGCAGCCCTGGATAGATACCTAAAGCTCAACACAGCTAGGGTTGTGGCTGCCATTATTCATAGATCCTAGAGGCATTATGTGCACACCTACTATACTGAGAATTCACAGGGTAATTAGAGATGAGTAACTACTGGGGATCCATATATCTTAGCCTGCCCCGGCCTTCAGCTCCAACTTTCAGAGATTCTCAAACTTAGTAAGAGACTGGGGATCTGGATGGAGAGAAGAGGCTGGGAGGGGGGATGGAGAGAAGAGAGTGGGAGGGGGTGGAGAGAAGAGGGTGGGAGGGGGTAGAGAGAAGAGGGTGGGGAGGGGTGGAGAGAAGAGGGTAGGGAGGGGTGGAGAGAAGAGGGTGGGGAGGGGTGGAGAGAAGAGGCTGGAGGGGGTGGAGAGAAGGGGCTGGGGAGGGGGATGGGGAGAAGGGGCTGGGAGGGGGATGGGGAGAAGAGGCTGGGAGGGGGATGAAGAGAAGAGGCTGGGGAGGTGGAGATAAAAGGTGGGTGGAGCCACAGATTGACCAGGGTGCTTAGCTATTAGAGCCTCTTGTGAACTTGAGGGGTCACTGAACCTCTATTCTTCTTCCCCAAGTGGTCACATTGAATAAACCTTTCTCTGCTTTCCCTGACATGTCTAGTTGGCCTGGCCTAGCTCCTTGGGCTGTGGAGCCCAAGCGCTAACATCTGAGGGTAATGCCAGCCACACCAGCATGCCAACTTTGGGTCTCTTACAAACATATGAAAGAATTCGATAGAAAATCAAGATTTACACAGGCCTGCCCTGTCAGAGAGAGTAGGACCATGTTGGTAGGGCATAGGGAGAGGAGTCCTGAGAGCAGGGCACATGGAGGTGACTGACCAGCTTTGGTGGAGTTCACCCAACATTTCACCAGAGAGGAAGCAGGCCCTCCCTCAGTCACCCACTGCCCCAACCTGAGGCCATAGTTGGGTTTTGTTCTTCCCTATAGGATGGGGACTGCCCTCCTCCATGACTGTCATGGCTGTCCTCACGTGACACTTAACATTAGAGTCGTGCCTGCCAGGCCAACCTCACCATGTATCTCCACCCTACCTGGGATGTATCCCATTTCCCACACCTGGTCAACTCCTGCACATCCCTCAAGGCCTTCTGATGTGGGATTCCCCTCTGTATGCTGTAAATACCGTTGGTTAATAAAGAAACTGCCCTAGGCCTGTGATAGGGTAGAGTAGAGCTAGGCTAGGCAGGGAAAACTAAATTGAATGCTGGAAGAAAGGAGGCAGAGTCAGGGAGAAGCCAAGGAGACACCGTTGGAGACAGACATGCCAGAACCTTGCTGGTAGGCCATGAGCCTCATGGTAAAATGTAAAATAATGGAAATAGCTTAAATTGAGGTATAAAAGCTGACCAATGAGAAGTTAGAGATAATAGGCCAAGCAGTGATTTAATAAAGGCAGTTTCTGTGTGGTTATTTTGGGAGTCTTGACAGCCAGGAAACAAACAAGTGGCCTCCTACTACAGCCCTCTGATGGCAATGACATTTGACCCCATTCCCAATATGCATAGCCATTTTAAAGCAAATCAGATCTGAGTTCAAATCCCACCTCTGCTGCTTATCAGTTGTGTGATATTAGATAAACCACTACATTTCTCTGGGCTTCATCTATGGTACCTTCCTAACCATTTATGTTGAAGGTAGAACTAGACAATGCTGGTTCCGGTCTCATCCCAGAAACCCCTGGACAAGTCCCTCATTAAAGGTGAGTCTCCATTTGCCATTGCTCTGGCATCAGGAGTGTTGGGTAGACGATGAAGGGTGAAGGTACCCGGGACTTGTTTGCCTGTGATGAATCCACCTAAGATGGAGTGGCAAAGGATGTGCGTGTTGGTGGCAGAGGTGGTGGGCTCGACTTATGGAAGAGTGTGACTCCTGGTGCCATTTTCCTGACGATGGTCAGACAAACCTGAGATCCGGTGATGCCCACGGTGCCCTATCAACCAGGACTAACTCAGCCACGACCCCACACTCAGCACACTGCTGATCCCGGAGTCTTGTTTGGTGGGCACAGGAGAGTGTTCTATGGGAACAAACCGGGGCAGGCAGTCAAGAAGAACATTGTAGTTCTGAGATCTCACTGAGTCAGCTCCATGGGAAGGAGAGAGTCCTCAATAGTTGAAGCCCAAACAGCATGCCAAGTCTGTGAGCTGCCCAGCTGCTGCGTCTCCAGGGATGAGGCACTCACAGCCCTTAAAGGAGCCTGGTCTGAGTCAGAAGACCCAGGCTGTGACTCGGGACAGTCATCAGCAAGCTATGATACTCACAGATGTCACCTTCGGACTGCCACCTCCAGCCCCTGAAGCTTCCTGGTAGATTCTTGCCATAATTCTTTACCAAACCCCAAGAGCTGTTGAGTTAATACACCCAGAAATCTCATTTTATCCTACGTGTTTGGTCATGAATTAGATCGTAGGAAAAAAAAAAAGCAGAAGTTAGGAGGAAAATGCCCCACCCCTGATGTATCTCCAGGAGCTCTGACCCTCACCACAATGTCCCATTAGATGAAAGGGGCCATGTCTCTGTGAACATTGGAGCCCCTCTGACGATACAGCTTCTCCCTGGCTCCCATCTGCGTGGCTTCACTGTAGATGGGCAGTTAGATCTCTCTGCAGTAATTGTCTAATAAGCCAGGTAGTGGTGCCAGCTGTAGCCTACCCTGCTGAGACAAATGGGTGGAGCTCAGGGGCAAGGGACAGCAGCAGAGGTGTGCTTGTGATGCATGGTCTCAATCAGGGTCTCTGGTCCCCAACCGTTAGTACAACAGAGCCACACAGAAAGCTGTGAGCACTCTCTGATCTGAGACCTTGTGACCCTTTGTGTATCCTAAAAAGCAACTCCTGCAATGTCTGAGAACTTGTTAAAACAGCAGGAGTTCTGGGGTCACCCTAAGCCTGGGTTCAACATGCTAAGCTTGAGGTCTGTGAAGGTATTTCAGGGTCACCCCAAACCTGGGTTTAGCATCACTAATTCTGGGGTCTGGTTGTGTCTGCTCCATTAGGTTCTAAAGGGACCTGCCCCAGATTCTACACTAAAACCTGCAATTAGGGTTATCTCAGAGCTGGTCAAAAAGGCAGTGAAGGTGGGGATCCCTCCCGGGTCAAACCTTCCTCAGATGAAGTTGGGAGAGCTACAGCGCTAAAGGCACCCCACTGGCTCCTCAGGCAGAGACACATGCAGACCAGTAACAGTTGCTTTCCAGCAGGAATAGCAGCAGTGTTGCCTGGTGCCGGACCCGGCAGTCTCCAAACCTCATGGCAGGAGACGAGACAGTGACGCTGGCGGTGGGCATGAGCTGGTGTTGATTTAAAGGTGATGCCTGCTGCCTGTTACAGTGCCAGAAGGAGCTACACAGGCCACTGTGGGGAGAAAAGTCACCAACCAGAGCTGTGCTCTGCAAGCTACAGTAATGACCTGCCGGGCAAGGTGTGCCTCCAGGAGCCACAGTGGCATGAAAGTTATGGGGGTGACCAGTGACTTCCTGATTAGATCTGAGGTCTGTTCCCCAGAAACATGGCTGATACTGTAAATCCTGGTGGAAGCCCACAGCTGGAAGGGGCCAGAGAGAAGGGACAGGAGAGGAAGGAACAATGTCCTTCATCCTGTGAGGCAGCCTGGATCTTGACTACTATGACTTCATGGTCAGCTACGCTATGGAATTGATCCTTTGTTTTTCAGTCAAGCATGGCACTACAAAAATGCTTCTACAGGGCCAGCAAGATGGCTCAACAGGTAAGGACGCAAACCCCAGAACCCTCATGATGGAAGAAGGGAGGCACCTCTTCTTTCTAACATAGAAGCCTACAGTGGCATTGTGGGCTGCATGGCCCTGGCCACTTATGTATGCAACACCAACTTGTTCGCCCACAGTAACATCAATTTGCATGCCAGAGATGTGGGGCAGCCACACGCATCCTTGCCAACCCTCCACTCTAGCCCTTTTCCATTTTGCCTGTCTGAACCCTGAAGAGGCTCTCAGCAAGGCATTGATTTGCATTTCCTGATTGCTATTTAGATTGAGACTCTTCTCATGAGTCTGTTTGTACTCTTGAGCATGCAAATCTCTGAAATAAGAATACCCCTGATGCCAGAACATCATGGAAGATGGAGAAGAAAGAATGTAGAGGCAGGAGTGCATGCTTGCGTGTGTGTGTGTGTGTGTGTGTGTGCGTGCTTGTACACGTGCGTACTTGCACACATGCGTGTGTGCATGCTGTGAAATGCTGTCTTTGGTGGGACTCCTGAGCTCACAGCAACTGTGATAGGCTGCACAAGATCAAGCCAGTCAACTTTCTAGAAGAGAGGGGTGGAGGGGTAGGGGCTCATGCATACCCCAGATGAGGCACTATTGCCAGAAGGAAGACTCATTTTCTTCAGTAGTAAATTATCTGTTTACTGGTAAATTATCTGTGTTCCTGTAAGTAAACCAAACACAGACACACACACACACACATGCACACACAGTCACGTACACACACAGTCACATGCACACACACACATACACACAGGCATACATATATGCACATAGGCACACACACAAGCACATAATACAAACATGCATATACACAAACACATACACACATACATGCACACACAGGCGTACATATATGCACATAGGCACACATACACAGAAGATACACACATGTACATTCACATACTTGCACACCCACTTGCACATAGGCACACAAACACATACATATGGGTACATGCACACACAGGCACATACACACATGCACAGATACAGACATATGTACATGCACATACACAGAGACACATACATGTACATGCACATACACATGGGCACACACATACATGCACACACATGCATATACACACAAACACATTCACACTGGTAGATGCATACACAGGCACATATTCATACACACATGGACAGATGCACACATGTACACACACACATACTAACACACATACAAACGATGCTAATTAAATGTGGTGGATTACAAAAAAGAACCAGAAAGTAGGAGAGAACTTGTTGGGAGGTTCAGAGGAGTGGGAGGGATGAGAGGGGAGTATGAACAAAATAGATTGTATGCATGTGCAGGGTTGTGAGAGAATGCATTTTCAGATGGCTCGGTGATTAAAAGGACTGGCTGCTCTTCCAGAGAATCTGAGTTTGGTTCCCAGCCCCACATCTGAAGACTCACAACTGCCTGTAACTCCTGCTCCAGAGAATCAAGCGCCCTCTTTTGGCCTCCTTGGGCCCTACACTCACATGCACAAACCCACACAAACACAGAGGTAATTAAAAAATAAATAAATTTTAAACAAAAAATTTATCATCATCCTTGGCTACCCCAACCGAGGCTGCCTGAGACCCTGTCTCAGAATAGGAAAACCCAACAGTGGAAATCCCTGGGCAGCAGCATTGTTAATAGTGGGCAGCAGGTCGCACGCCCCAGGAAAGGTGACCTCAGAGTGAGGCTGCATTTCTCATTCGTGTGTCTAACAGCTTTTAAATAAATTATCAATAATTTGAGGAAAAGCAGAAAGGAGGCAGCCGGTGTACCACAGGAACCATCTGTCCGTATTTTGATCAGTTTTTAATTTCCACTTTTGGAAGGTTTGTCTTCCAGCAGACTGGAACACGCTCTCTGAGTGTTCTGGACTTTATCCATACATGTGTGACCACTTTGACTCCATGTATTTATTGTGTCTTCACTTCACACTCTAATTAACGCCCCTCCCCCCTTATTTTGACTTGGTGAGGCACCCATCACCCCAGTGCTGCTTTCTCCTTTCATGGTTTATGTAAGGAGTTTTCGTCTTTGGGACAAAATAGCATTATCTGATAATGTGGGGTCAGGAAGATGCCACACACGTCCCCGGTGTGCCAGGGCCTCATTTCCTTCCACTATAACCCTAAAAGGGTGTCATAGCTGCTCAAGCATCGTGGGATGTAGCGCAGGGCCCTTCTCCCCTCAGCAGATGCTCAGGGAACATGGGTGGGCGCAGATGGCTTACCTTGCTCTCCAGCAGGTCCGCGCTCTGTCTGAGCTCGCTTCTCGACTTCTCCGACTTCTGCAGCTTCTGCCTCAGCAGTGTCAGTTCCTCCTACAAGACCAACACCCGTGTGTAAGCTGCCTGGGGCGGGCCTTTGGGTCCACTCCTGTTAGGAGAAGTCTCGGGGGGCATCGCTTCAGGGACAGGCAGCAACTCAGCGAGCTCTTCAAGGAGAGCTACACGGATGCCCCTGCAGTCTGCGTTTGCTGAGTGTTGGAAGGGCTCACACCTTGTTAGTCAGGGCCATCACTCCACACGTATGCCACGGCGTCAAGACTCTACATCCCAACCCATAAATTCATAAAACAATCATTTTTCAATTAAAAATAAAACTTTAAAATAAAAAAGTAGCTGGTGGTGGCATGGCTATCGGTCAGCCTGCCTGTGCTGTCACCCAAATCTCTCCTTCTCTTCAGCCATTTCCAGATACCAACACCTCTGCTCCAGGAGTCTGGACACACAGCCTAGTCTAGGGGCTGAGCACACAACTCCAGATGGGGACTGCGTGTGTGTGACTGTGCAGAGGGTCACATCCTTACAAGTGTCACTCTCCCCACAGGGACAGCTCTCCAAGCTGGTGGTGCTGTCATTGGAAGGAGCCGCGGGTGGCAGATGACTTTAGGCTGTGAGCCTGAGGGAATATTCTACTGCAAAGAAGAATGAGGAAGGGCTCGCTGAGATGTCCCTGGGGATTTTAGGATAGATTGGCAAGAGCACAGCACATGCTTCACAGGGGAGGCCTTACCCAAAGTGCCTGGGATCAAAGTGCCAGATTTTAGGCTTTCCAGTTTGGGGACATTTACTTGGACTTTGCTTGTAGTTATTTTTAGATGAAGAACACGTAGCCTCCCTCGTGTTTACTGTTTGTGCAAGAAATAAAAGAGCCTTGTGCATATCTTGGTCATTTTTGTAAAAAATAAACATCAGAAAGCACAAACCAGTATCTGTCCAAAACAGCTGCCCACAGGAGGTGTGTGGGGATGGGGTGTGGGTGTGTGTGTGTATGTAAATGTGTGTGTGCGTGTATTGGAGATTGAGAGATGACAAAGTTTTCTCTAAGAGATGTAAAGGGCCCATGACTGAGCTTAGAATGAGCCACGTGATCCAAAGGTGACTGGTGCATTTGACCATCCTTCCGGAGAACAACTGTATTCCAGAACACAGCCTCGGTTGATAGCAGCCTCCAATCAAAGGCACGGAGGACTGCTGGGCTGCTGGTTACTGCACACAGTCGCCCTGGGGGCTGGGTATAAGCATGAAGGTGAGTGTCACCACCCAGAGGCATGAACCCACCTCCTTGGCGCGAAGCTGCTCCATGCTAAGGGTGGGGCTCAGCAGGGGCCGAAGAGATGCCAGAAGCCCCCACCATGGCCAGTCCTTGACCTCCAGGAACACAGCAAGGTTCTTCTGGATGCACTGTGCGGCCAGCCTCCGGATCTGCAGAAGGAGAATGTGAGTGTATGGGGTCCACCCACCTGGGAAAGAGGACAAAGAGGACAGGAAGCAGGGGACAAAGCCATGGAGGAAACGGGGCCACGGCCTCTTGTCTATTCCAGCTCATCCACAGCACAGGCCAGCAGAGGGTGGCCCACGACTCGGTAAGCTCTGTACAAGTACTTGGTCTGGGGCTCATGGGGGGCACACAGTCATGCATGTTCACCCCAGATCCACAAGCTGCTGTGGAATCTGCTGGTCGACACAAGACACTACCTTCAGCTTCTTACACTCCTGGCGAGACAGAAAGCCCCTGCAAGCTGCTTGGAAGAGAATGATATTCCGGGACACCAGCTTCTCTCGTTGCCTCTCCAGCCTGGAAACCACACCTGCCTTGAGGAAAACCTGGGGGCAGAAGAGAAGGCACAGGTAAAGCCTCTGCCTTGCTGGGGTGTCTGGGGGTGCTACTCGGAGCCCATCTCTCTTCTCATGATGCAGCTGTGGCTTAATGAAAATCTAAAGAATGGAAGTGGTCTTTCTTCCTGTGGCTTCTCCTCCTGCCTTCAGCCCCTGGCTACCCAGTGTGCTCCAGGATGCATGTAGCAGGATGGATGCTGCCCTAGGACTTATGAAAGGCAGAATCTGGGGCTGGAGACCTGGCTAGGTTGGCAGAGCATTTGCCTAGCAAGAGGATCTCCTGGAATCCTTCTACATGGCATGGAACTATATGTGGGAATTCTAGCACTTGGGGAGTGGAAGCAAGAAGATCAGAAGTTTAAAGTCATCTTTGGCTAGTGGTGAGTTCAAAGCCAGCCTAGGCTACATGAGACACTGTCTCAAAACAAAAACAAACAAACAATGACAGGAATACAAAGAAAAAGAAAAAAGAAAAGGCCCTGCTAAACCACTGCCTGCGTTCCACCTGATTCTGGAAGAAAGGTGCCTTGGTTTGACAGTCACTACCAGCACAGATGTGTCTAATGTCCTCTGGGACAAATTCACTCCAGGATAGTAGTAAACTCAGTTTCTGAGGCCTTGTCCCAGGCTCTCTTGAGCCCATGCACTTGGGCTGGCCCCAAAATGTTAATTTTTAACCATTGACAAAATTTACCTGAGATATGATACCGAGAAACACCCAGATTCAGCATGAAAGGAGGGGAAGAGGCCATGGGAAGAGGCACCACCCTCTGGCCTGAGCATCCCTCCCCTGAGCTGCTAGGCTCCTGCCAGAGACCACACCTGCCAGGCCTCAGAGCATCAAATAATGGAAGAAGTTGGTGATGGTGCTGAGATCACCACTGCAGCATCCCATGGAATGGTCCATGAACAGACTGCAGGGGACAAGATGCAGTGACTCAGAAGCCCAGGGATGTCTGTCGGTAGAAGCCAAAAGGGAGCAGGTTCTGGGTTTAAGTTAAAGGAATCTAAGAGACCCGAGGCTCTCCAGGCAGGGAGTGTCCTTGACTACACACCCTACAGTTCTATACACCCTTGGTCCACCTCCCTGGGTGCCAAGGAAAGAAGTCTTCATGGTGGACTTGACCCAGCCCTATGCATTTGTCAGAAGGACCCAAAGGTGTCATCTTCTCTTATGTCAACGCATGGCCCTGAGTTGGTGGCGTTGTCAACTAATGGATAATGTTTATTGAGTGTTTAGGACAGACTAGAAGTCAGCAGGCAGGATCGTAGAGGGTTGCTATTTTGATTTTCATTTTTGTATTGCTTTGTTTTTACAGACGGGGTTTCTCTACGTAGCCCTGGCTGTCCTGGAACTCACTCTGTAGACCAGGCTGACCCTGAACTCGCAGAGATCCACTTACTTCTGCCTTCCAAGTGCTGGGATTAAAGGCATGCACTATCACTGCCGGGTGATTTTCCCATTTTATGGAGGGAGAAGCAATGGCCTCCTCAATGCTGGGCTTTACCAGAGTGTACCACTGCACGCAGCCTTTTACACAGGTTCTGGGATGGAACTCAGGGGTAACACTAATGACTGAGCTGTCTCCCCAGGCCTGGGCATCTAGTTCTCAAAGTCCTTTGCTCTGTCTGTGTCCAGTCTTTAAACTCCAAATTGTCCCATTGTGGAAACCAGTAACCCAATTAATTCAGTAGCTGTTGACTCAGAAAGCTGAGACTCAAACTCAGGATCTGGTTCACATATCAGAAGTTTGAATTCCAAAGGGAATTTGAGACTAACTGGCACAAAGGACCCGCGAGCTCTCTGCCCATTCTAATGACGGGGCCCCTGGTCCACAGGAAGGTGAGCTCTGTGAGTGTCCAGCTGTTTCATAGACCAGCAAGTGCTTGTTGGGAGCCACCAGGAGGACCAGCCTCACTGAAATAGAGACATCAGCCATTCCTGGCTCTCAGATTGCTTAATCATCACTATATTAATTTCACAAGCTGGTGAGTCCCAAAGCTGTCATTTAAAAAAAAATCGATGATCAAAAATGATGACAGCATACTTCATATATTACAGTAGACGGCAGGTGCTACCCAGTCCAATATTGATTAAGTATGAGGCTTTCATTTAAAAGATAATTGGATAGGACTGTGCCCATGGTGAGAGGAAGTCCATAAGTCCTCGGCTCTGTGGAAGCGACTCTCGATCTGTGTCTTCCTTTCCTCTTTTTCCCCTTTTGAGAACATGATATTACTGAGACGTCTGATTGCATGTGGAATCTCACTTGGTCAGAGCTGTCAGGGCCCAAAGCACAAGCCTTAATAATGTGTCAGGGACTGGGAAAAATCACAAGGAAAAACCTAAATGATTCCCTTCTCATGGCTTCAGCTGCTTGTCGGATCTGAGTAGAGAGGAGCATCCTGCACCTCACTTCTAAAGAATGCACCAGGGCCCGCTGCTGTTCTTGATCCAAAACTGCAAAAGCCAGGCTTTTCAAAAGATCTACGTCCTCTCCTTGGGGTCATTCCCCAGATCAGAGGAGTTTTGGCTCTTTAAAACAAACAAACACAAAAACAACTCTTCCAGTGCCCTAAGGATTCCTTATTTTTAATATGTATCTATGTTCACCTGCATGAGTGTATGTGCGCCACACACACACAGGTGTCAATAGAGCCCAGAACATGGCATTGGATCCCCTGGAACTGGAGTTACAGGCAGTTGTGAGCTACCGTGTGGGAGCTGGGAACCAAACTCAGGCCTTCCGCAGGAGAAGTGCATGCTTAAGCCATCGCCCCAACTCTCAGGGTTTTAGTTTCGCAAGCAATAAAATATGACTTTCTCTGATAAATAGCTTTACCCTGCTGATAAATGCATTCTGTAAGGAACAGTAGCCCTGCTAAATTTCCCCGGGCAGGAGGCAGAGAACAGGTTCCATGCTGCAGTTGTGGCAACTGAGGCATGAATCAATTAGGAAGTTTCGAGTCTTGGCAGGGACAGGGTAGCAGCTTCTCTCTATCCAACTGGGTTTTCTGTGGACTTCCCCACTTTCAGTACCAGATTCCACAATGACGAGATGTTGTACCTGTCCCAAGGAACCCAAACTGGTGCTGGGCCTGGCCTCTCAAAGGTCTCCTTGGCCTCTATCACTCCTGGTGAGTACAAAGCATTATGCAATGACAATTATGTGTTGTTATTGGAGGTTTAGGCTTCTAGATTGCCAACCCCTGCCGCTGTAAACCACACACAGTAGCTTCTGTTCTCTCCCTTACTCTACTGTGGCTGCCAGGACTGTGGGGACCAATTTCTGTATTCATGAAATAACTGGGTAATTTTCTAGCCCAGTGGTTCTCAGACTCCAGCATGCATCTAAGTCGCCTAGAGAGCCTGTGACAACAGCCACTGGGCTCCACCATGCAGTTTCTGATCCAGTAGGTCCTGGTGGAGTCTGAGGATTTGGGGTTTCTGCAAGCTTCTGGGCAGGATTTCTGCAGATGGACTAGAGGGATGAAGTGGGTGGAGCTGAGGAGCGATCCCTACCCCCACTCCGAGTCAAGACCATGGGACCTGTGTGAACACATTCTCCACTTCCACCAGTGAGCATCGGGACCTCAGTGTGTGGGGAGGACCTTGGTAGTATGCAGTCTTCACTCCCTGTGGGTCACTAGAAATGAGCTAGTTACCCAGAGCACAGTCTCCTCATCTGTGGAGCCTTCTGGAAGTCTGTGGCTTGCCGCGAGAGCCCAGGGACAGGCTGGTGTATTCTTACTGCCAGAGACATCCGCAAATAACCACAGTGGCAATCTGGTCAAGCCCACAGTGAACTCCCAGTTTGGACCAAGGCCAGAGTGAGATGTTAGTGTGTTTATAACAGGTTGGTGAGCAGTGAGCTGAGCCCACCAAGGAGAAGACATCTCTAGAGAGGGTCCATGACCACAATGTCTACAGGAAGAACAGAGCCCTCCCCCCAGGGCTCATACACACCTGCAGTGGGTTCTGACCATTCAGGTTTACTGGTTATGCTAACCACTCTGTGAATAATGGGGCAGCGAGACACCCCCCCCTTCCCAGTCTGGGTTCGGAGTTTGTCTGTGGCATACTGCCCACCACTCACGTGGTTCTTTAGTTTGAAAACCCATGCTCACTTCCCAGACAGCTTCAAAGCTGATAATGAGTGTGCCCCCAAAACAAAAGACTGGAGGCTCTAGGGTCAAAGAGCCCTAAAATGCCATGCTTCCTTTCTTGATAATCAACAGCACATGGCATGCTGGGCAACACAGAGACTTCTATAGACATCTCATCGGGCAGGGGAGAGTTTGAGCTTCAACCCCTTTGGTTTCTCTCCCCTCAGATCATCCCATTCCCTTCTCAGTCTATTTCCTCCATCCACAGACTGCAGTGGAGTGCTGAGGGCTAGCGGACTGCCGAGGACTAGGGACCGCCGAGGGCTAGGGCTGTGCCACAGCCACTTGCAAAAGGGACGCTAGGAGGCCACATCTGCGAAGCATGCTGCCTTCTGATACAGAGTAGTCACACAGTTAAGACACAATGTAACTGAGGAAACCAGATGCATCTTGGTAGCCATCTCCTGGTCAGAACACCTTTGTTGTTAAATGTTATTGACATTTAACTGTCAGGTGTCCCCCTATGCCGTGTCATCCTGCACATGCACGAGAGGGTCTGTGCTGTGGTGTGAACGTGAAACACCCCTTACAGCCTCTTGTGTTCCAACACCTGGTCCCCACCAGCTAAAGGAAATGCATCTCTGGGGGTGGACCTTTAAGTTTCATGGACAGGCTGAACTTCCTGTTCTCTCACTGCTTCCTGACTACCCATGCATGCAGTGTGACCATATAGCCACCTACTCCAGCCACCACCCCTGCCCTGTCATGGTTGGCTACAGCCCTGGAATTAGAAACCAGAAGAAACCCCTTTCCCATTAAATTGCTTTGCTTGGATATTATGTTGAAGCCTGACATCATTAGCACAAGGTTTGCAAAGCAGTGTTGACACCCTTCCCCATCTGTAGGGATTGTGAAAAGAAATGCCCATAAAGGAAGATCTGGGAAAAAAAGGGTCCTCCTCTATCGTGAATATGCCACCAGCATCATACACATTCATAAGCCCTCCTCCGTCGTGAATATGCCACCTGCACCACAGATAATCACAAGCACTTCCTTAAAATCCCAGATCCACGGGGCGGGGGGGGGCGCTCCCAGCCACAGGGCAGCCTGTTTAAGTCTCTCAAGTGCTTTCTTTGTTCTGTTAAATAGACTTCTGCACAAACAGAGAGTCTCCTGCCTGAGCTCTCTCCTTTAAGAATACTTTACAGCTGTAAACAGTTCCTTCTGGAGCTCAGAATGTCATTTAAAGACCCAAGCGTCAACTCTTCCAGACTCTCGAGGCTCCTGGGCCAGCGAACTCTAAGAATGACATTTCTAGTGTCATGTCCACCCATGTGGCACCATGTCATCTTGATTTTGAAAGAGGGACAGGGACAAAACTCATTTATCCCCTGTAGTCTAGGAAAGAGAGACCCAGAGAGATAATGGGTCATTGGGTGAGACAAGAATTGGGTGCTGAGCTCCTGTAAGGAGCATGGGTGTCAGTGTCCTTGGCAAGATAGTCACTCACCTGGCTGTGCCCCACGGCCACTGCTTTCTTTTCCAGATCCAGGGTCTGCAAGAGTTCCTCCACTGCCTGCGGGGGCATGGGTGAGAAGAGAGAAATTCAAGGAGAGCTTGGCATAATGAGACCCACGCTGAAGGTCAAGCTCACTGCATGGCAGGACGCAGAAAGGGGGAGCAAGCAGAGCCCCAACTCAGAGGGGCAAGTGCAGGAGAGAAGCTTCCCCCAGGCCCCTGCCACGCACTGCACACTCCTTTGGAACCTCCAGGAGGCCTGCGTGTTTCATCCCCACCATTCCCATTCCACGGAAGACATCTAAGACTCAAGGTGAAATGATGTGGGCAGCTGCTGTCAAGATATAGATATCTGTATCCTTGCCCACCTGGCCCGACCTCAGGCACACAGGGCAGCCTGTGTTTGTCATCTCCTTGTTCAGCCTGTGTTTGTCAGCTCCTTGTTCCTCCATGGCACTAAGATACTTCTCTATACTTACAGTGAGGACTCAGTGAATGTGGGGAAGGGGAGGTAGAAGGAGCGGGGAGAGTGGTGGGGGGAGTCGGAGAGATCCAGACAGAGGTCAAAGCAGACAGTTTCCTGCAGAAGTTAATTTTCTCGGAGATTTTGGAGAAGGTAGACATGAATTCCTGTGGAATCTCCCTTTTGCCTAATAGTCACAGAAACTGTGAGGTAACCTGCTGGACTGTGGTCCCTCAGCTTGCCCCACCCCATGTGACCACCATCACCTCCCATTCCGCCGTCCATATGTGCTCTCCCCATAGACTGTCTGAAAGGCAGGATAAACTACCATGAGCAACTGCAAAACTTTGGAAGAAGTGGGGGGCAGCAACTGAGTGAAATACATGCCAGACTGAAGGCCAGGGGCATCATGGGATACTTCCTGAGACACCCTCTAAAATTGCTTGTTAAAAACTCTAGTCCTAGATCACAATTGGCCTCCTCTCCTGGCGCCCTGGAAAAGCCCTCCCTCTCCAATCTGAGTGGTTTCATTTATTATATTTTAGCCAAAAAAAAATGTTCCAAGGGAGTTGAAGGCAGCCAAGACACATAAAGCCAATATACCCAAATATAACATCTCTTCTCTCTGCACAGGAAGAAAGGCATGATAAAAACTGGCTGAGAGCAAGACGCATGGGGAAAGCGGAACCCCGGGCAGAGACATTTTTCTGTGTCTCTTTTAGAGGCAAAGGCTAGAGTGTGTGTGTTTGGAGAAAGGGTGTGCGGATCCCAGCACTTTGGGGGGCTGAGGCAGGAGGACTGTGAGCTTAAGACCACGCTTGGATACCTAGAAACACCCTGACTCAAACGACAAGACCTGGAACTGCATCCACCTGGGACCAGGTCTTACTTCGCTCATCCGTGAAAAGATCTGAGGCCAGTACTTTTCTGCCAGCCTCGATCTCCTTCTGAAAAGAGGGAGGAATGAATCTCAGCTGTCTGTGGGACCTCACACGCCATTTGATCCACAGGTATCACACCAGGATAAGTTGGGTACCAAATGCACACAACCCTGGGAGAGGTTCTAACACGCGAGAGATTCTGTGTTCTAAGCTGCAGTATAGACACCACCTAACAGTGCACTTAGACGCTATAGGAACGAAGGGCGCATCTCTAGCTCTTGATTTTCTTAAAATCCTTCAAATGTGAACAAAAATACCAGCCCTAGAAAATAATGTGTCTGCTTTGTTGACTTCAGAGAGAGACCTTTGAGAGAGCTCTGGTCCAGCCGATGGAGAGCAAGTGAGTCTCTGGTCCCCTCCCTGGACTGCAAAATGATGATAATAGCCCCGTCTAGACCTTAAAGACCCCAGGGAGGCTTCATTGAGAAAATAGGAAAAGGAATTTGTAAATGACTCTGCACTTAATTATTTAATTGCTGTTTGTGTTGTCTTCATTAATATTAATATGTAATTGAACCATATGGAAATGCTCTTTGTTTAGGCCAGATTATCAATTATTTAATTTAGTTCAACACAGTGCAATCATTGTCCAACAGCCCGTTATATATATATATAAAAAAGAAAGATGTGGCAGGGGTCCAGGTTGCTATGTCGAATGGTGTCATTGTTACATCAGCTTTCCCACAGACACCTGAGGCGCATACCCCATCATGGAATACTGGTCTGTGAGTAAAATATGGGCCATTTTACTCTAAAGAAGCACAATTTAGTAATAGCACACTCTTTTAATCCCAGCACTTGGGAGGCAGAGGAAGGTGGATCTCTGTGAGTTCCAGGCTAGTTTGACCTACACAGAAATCCAGGCCTCTAGTCTACATAGTGAGTTCTAGTCAGCCAGGACTACATAGAGACCCTGCCTTAAAAAAGAAGAAAACAGTTTTTGGCCTGCCTTTTGATCCCAAGCACTTTTCCAATGGCCTGTGCATAATTTGTGTCCAAGCCTTTGCAATAAATATTTCACCTTCACCAAGAAAGCAACTGAGGCCCAGTGCAATGGGAAGGGTCATACACCAGGAAAGGATGTCACAGGATCCAGGAGCTGACTCATGAACCTTCTCTCTTCTCTCTGATGCTGGTACTCAGTCCAGATCCTCCACTCCCTGGCTGTGTGACTCTGGGCAACCTGCTCCTGTCTGGTCCTCAGTACATGGGGTCACACACCTGGCTTAAGGAAGGAGACTGACAGAGGTCGCAGGACTGATATGCAAGAGAGGTTCCCAAAATGGTGGAGCAAGGAGCTTCTAGACCCCTCTCTGTTCTGCACAACCATCATGACAATGGCTACAATTTAATAAAGGAGCAAATTCAGCACTCAGCAAATTGAACAAAAAGATTTAACAGAATGAGAATCCATGGCTCCAGGAAGTCTGCTGAAGGCTAGGTCGAGGCAGTGGGAGCTGGCAGCCGTCCTGACTGGGGCTCTTACATTCCGCTCCCTGCATCCCAACCAGTTCTGACTGTGTAGTGGGGCCACCAGGTGAGTCACACCAAGAAAGCAGCAAATTCTCAGTCAGAACGGGATCGCAGATACAGTGCACGGCCTGGCTAGCCTATATCCCAGGCAGGGTCAGAAGCAGCCAGACACTCGGAAGCAGCAGCAGCAGCAGCAGCAGCTGGTAGGGACAGTCACAGATAAGATGGCTGTTCTGACAGAAGCAAGTGGACGCTATAACCAGGAACCTCACAAGTTGTAGGGAAAGGAACAGCCAGTGGGCTTACAAAGTACCTTTTTATTTCCTTATTGTTTCTATTGAGTTATATATTTTTCTCCACTCCCCTCCCTCCCTTCCCCCGCTTTCTACCCTCCCATAGTCTCCATACCCCCAATTTACCCAGGAGATCTTGTCTCTTTCTACTTCCCATGTAGATTAGATCCATTTATGTCTCTCTTTGGATCCTTATTGTTGTCTAGGTTCTCTTTCCTTTGCTTTATGTCCAAAAGCCACTTATAAGTGAGTACATATGATATTTGTCTTTCTGGGTCTGGGTTACCTCACTCAATATGATGTTTTCTAGATTTATCCATTAGCCCGCAAATTTAAAATGTCAAGTACCTTTGCATTTCTGACTCTAGGCTAAAGACAAGAACAAGAGCCATGGGTGTGGGTGTAGGAAGAGAAAGGACAGACAGCTGTGGACACTGGAGTGCAGTGTTGACGCCCCAGATGCAGACAGCTCTCCTGTTGTACCCAGACTCATCAGTAAAATAGAAATATGCACAGAACAACCTCTACAGCCCCAAAGATGGATGCAGATGTGGTCTTCACTGGAGAGGAGCCAGGCCTCACAATAAAACCACGAGCCTTAAAAAGCAGGGAGACACCAGGGTTTCACACTAGTCAGGTGGTTAGGAAAAAAACTTGTGCCTAAGTCATTGTCTAAGACACCCAGGTTTCAACAGAAATGAAAACACACACACACACACTCCCAGAAGTTATGACTCCTACTGGGGAAAGGAGGGCATGGCCAACAGAATAGACCTCCTTGGCTCAGAATGCGCACTTTGTGTGCAGATTTCCAAGTATCCATTGTAGATCTGTTCAAAGACCTGAGAAAAGTGCCACTTCGCAAGTTAAAAGACAGAGCAGGCCGTAGGTGGCTGTGTGGCAGACTCCCTGCTGAGCATGATCAGGGGTCAGGTTTGATCCCCAGCACCAAAAAAAAAAAATACAGATATAAATGGCTGAAAACTACATATAGAAATTCTTCATTTTGAAAAAAATCAAACAGCTGAAATGACAGCTTCCCCGTGGGGCTCAACCGCAGACCCAGGCTGGCAGGTGAGCTGGTGAGTTGGGAGCGACATCAGAGGGAATTACCCAACTTGAAGAACAGAGAAAGGTGGGAATAAAGAAAACTGAGTCACACCTGGCAACAGAGCCATGTCCAGTGTCTGCATGGTAGAGTCTCAGAAAGGAAAGGAGAAAGGGGAGAAAATGGGACAAAGTGCCACAGCTTCAAACTTCCCCAAATTTTACTCCTTCCAAAAATCACAAACAAGATGATGTGCTGGACAATGACCTATAAGCTGAAATAACCCCTTTGCTCCCTAAGTTGCTCTTGCTCAAGGTGTTTGTCACAGCCATGGAAAGCAAACTAGAATGATGATGTCCAGAAGGCTGTGGGATTACATAACAGACATGCTGGGAGGGAAAAGGCCCTGCCAATCAAGCCCTCTACCCCTTACAGGGCTGTGCTCCCAATCCTCCCAAAACAAAAATGACTCAAAACTCTGCCTGGGCACACACAGGCTGGGGAGTCACTACTATCAGATCTTGTATTTGTATTAAAGGCTGGAAGAAATAATGACTCAAACCTTTAAAGATTCAAGAACAGCAGAAAGCATAAACATGCAAGAACAAGGGAATGATGTGAGCTGTGTGGTGCCAGCACAGGGGAGGCAGAAGCAGGCTGATCTCTAGGCTCTGAGGCCAGCCTGGTCTACATTGTGAGTTCCAGGAGAGTCAGGGCTACATAGTGAGACCTTGTCTCAAAAAAGAAAATACTATAAAAATATGTTAATGGATTTAAAAGATAAAAGATTAAGTGAAAGAAAATATAAAATTGTATTAATGGATTTATAATTCGGACATGTAACACTGGCACAGAGGTGTCACGGGGAGTGGATCTGTGGAATAAACACTCTTTCTCCAACCAGAACAAGGCTACTATTAAACTGAAGGAAGCCTGATGAAGGAAGATACACTCTATTGTCTCTGGAACATTGCCAGCTTCCTCAGACAGCCCACGAGAAGAGCAACCAAGTTAGTACAAGTAAATCAGACAGCTGTTTGCAGGGGATTCAGACCAGAGCCCAATGAAAGGGGCAAAAATGGACGAAGCAACACCCTTCAAATGGCGAGCATAACAGAGATGGCGTTGGCACCGACACAAACAAAGCCAAACCCATCGTTACATCATGTCCAGTGATGAAAGAGTTAACCTTCTGGCCAGACAGGCAAATTATCTCAGCACCTAGCCAGAAAGTCCCAAGACATGAGAAGCAGAAAATGGATAGAATTAAAGAAAAGCAAGACAGCTCAACATTAGTGGCCAGGGGCATTAACACCTGTCTCTTAATAATTGATAGATCAATTAGATATAAAAATTCTGCCCTAGAGTTTTGGCAAGACTTCCTGTGTCCTGGATATCAGGGAAGGATGTAGCCAGGAGGGCTTGCACAGAGCTACAAAGTCCTGAGAACAACTCAGGACTGTGCTGGACGCTGTTCTGAGCTCACCTTAGTTCAGAAGGCTACCAGTTAATAGGCTTCAATCCTTAGAAAGCCATGGAGGGAGATGCGGTTTGAAGCTCAAGCCTCCATCTCTAATGCTTGCTCATCTAGAACTCGTGCATCCCTCCTTTGCACACTGACCACATCATGGTTGAAGGTAGACAGCTCTATTTAACTCCCAGGGTGCTGACTAAGCAGCATGGCAAGAGGCACACCAAGGAACACCCCCACCCATGTGACGGCATTGGCTCACGTGATGGAGAAAAACAGTGACTGGAAGAATGTCCATGGTGAGACCCCAACAAATGAGGGGGAAGTGGTGGAAATCATTTCCAGAGAGCTGCTCTCCCCAGGATGAGAGCAGCAAGTTCAGCACACTGAGTGTGGACAGCTCCCACTGGCGGAGGGGTGGGGCAAAAGAACCGACTTCAGGTGGACACTGAGCAAGCAGTCTCCTGGCCCTGCTGCTGGAGATGTGAGCCATTTCTTCCACCACCTTCTTCCTCTGCCAAGACGGCCTGTGCCCAGAGCTTCATCCCTTCAGTTGCTTCTCATGGAGAGTCACCATCAATGTTTTTAATTAATTAATTTTAAATGTATGCGTCTGTGTGTCCGAGTGAGTGTATGTGCGCCAGGTACCGGCAGGTACCATGGAAGCCAAAAGAAGCGATTGGATCCCTCAGAGATGGAGCTACAGGGGTGGTGAGCTGTCCAATGTGGGTGCCGGGAACTGAACCTGGGTCCTCTGCAATTGCAGTAAGTGCTCTAAGATTCATAGGCGAGCAATCTTTCTACCCATAATAATTATTTTAATGCTCTGCGTAAGAACCCAGAGTCAGAGTCTGGGTCTGAGCCCCAGCTGTCTCCTGCCTGGCTCTGCAGTCCTGCTCCAGCCTCCTCTGCTGAGAAATGAATCCCCTGAGCAGAAGGCTTTGTCTTGGAACACTGTCTCAGGCTGGAACTCTACCACCTTGTGTCTTGTGGATGAGCGTGAACTGATCTGTCTACCTCTACCTCCTTAGTTGGAGTCACAGGTGTGCACCCCAACAACAGGAAGCTCTTTTGTGATGTGTGTGTGCAGGCACCTAGGATAAGAGTACTTCTCTGGGGAGCCAGCAAAACTTGCAGAGACACCACAAATCAGGCACAAGGGGGACTCCCTAGGGCCCATTTTCTACCCTGACAAGAATCCCCTCTGCCGCCGTCTAGTGTCTAAAGTTGACAGTGACCTTTCCTAGCTGTCAGACCCGTCTCACGGAATCCTGAGGTCTTAATCAGTCTGCGAGCAGAGCCTTCCGGCTTGCCCACCAGAGTACATACTCATGCATAATTCATAGCCCATCACGCTGCCTGACAAATGAATATTTATCAGCTTTTTCATAAGAGGCAGGATGGTGTTTTCTTTCTTTGCTACCAAAATTCTATGCCCCAGCAAATGAAATTTGTGAACAAATAAAAAAAAAGGAATGAGAAGCAAAAAATACTTCCAAGCAAGTCTGCTGCACTGGTAATTTTCCACTCTCTGGCGCCTGGAGTATGTATGGAGGTGGATTTGGTTTAGTCACAACAGAGTCCTGCTGACTTGTCCAGAGTCCAAATGCTGCCATGAGGGGTGCCCGTCACCCCACAGGAAGTTCCCTCATGTCCCCAGCCTTTCTCACTCCCCACTGCACAGGAACCCCAGAGTCTCCAGCACTGTGGCCCCTCTGTGTGGTGGTCATGCGTGGACCAAGGAGAAAATACCTCACGTGCTGATTGGTTCAGAGCCAAACCAAATTATGGGGCTTCCAAAATTCAGAGAAGCGGAGAGGCACCCAGAAGGAGCTGTGTCTGCTGCTGGAGGTGCCCCGAGTCCTGGTACAGTGGGCAGAAACCAAGAAGTCTAAGACTGTGACTCTGCTTACCCTTCCAACTTTAAGGTTCACTGAGGATGACAATGTGGAGGGTTCCAAGTACAGTCAGGCACATGCGTGAGCACACACACACGCGCACATGCGCATACACGTGCGCGCACACACACCCACATACACACGGTGGGGGGGATGGTTCAGCGTGGCTGTGACAGTCTGTGGGTCACCCACCCATTAGCCTGACCCTGAAAGATGCTGCAGCGGCCACCACTACTGCTGCTATTGGCAGAAGCAGTTGACGTGCCTGAAGCTCCTCCCGCATGTCAGGACCTGTGCAAGGCACATTGGCTACTCTATAGCATTGTATCTTCATAGCACTAAAGGAGACGGCTGCTGCTGCTGTTCCCACTCTAAAAGTAAAGAGACTGAGGCAGACAGACAGTCACCTACCTGAGTGACAGCTGAAGTTACACATGTCTGACTCCAAGACCCTCAATCTTTCACCAACCCTCCCCTGGAATTTAGAAGCTGACTTTCGAGGAACAAGCCCATGAACACCCGTGGAATTCACTTCTAAGAGCCTGACACTTGCTTCATCTTTAAGGGCCTCATTGCCAAAGAGACTGAAGGTACTTGCTTCTCAGGGATGCCACATGATGCCACCAGGCTCTAACCATTACAAACCCATGGTCAATCATCATGGGACAGCTCCATTGTAGAGAGTGAGGGGTGAGGGGCAAAGACGAGGTTTCGTGGATTTAGAGCAGGATTGGAAACAGAAAAATAAGGGTGAAAGTACCAAGACAGATTGTGTGTGTGTGTGTGTGTGCGCGCGCGCGTGTATATGTACATATGTATATGCCTGTGTGCATCTATGTGTGTGTGTACAAGCATGTGACTTGCATGTGCCTGTGTATGTCCTCATACACAGCCAGTGTAAAGGCCCTGTGATGACCTGTTGATCACATTCTCGTGTGGGGTGTTCCCCAAACATTCCTATGCACCACCGCAGGGTGAGGGTTCTATGCTGCCACAATCCCTGTGAGGTGGGACACGGGACACACCACTCTTTTTCCTCTTATTCTTTTCTGTGCACACTCATGAAGGTTTCAGGAGGGCATTCTGGGTAGGGTGAGGTCTGACTCAAATTGCAGGCTACTCCCCACTGCCCTCAAACCCCGCTCTTAGATCCCTGCTCCAGCTATCCTTGAAAAGTCCATACAGAACAGTGGTCACATGGGAGCATCTGGCCTCCCCTGCTTGTGAGCCAAGCTCACATACCTTTCTCTCATCCAGTCCCTCAGGGGTGGAGTCAAGCTTCTTCAGTAGCAGAGGGTCCAGCACCTGGAACCGGCGGCGGAACTGAGCAAGCCCCATGTGTTCAGCGTAACCTGGGGACATAGCAGGCAGTCACGAGTGGGAAGACACAGGCAGCGCTCTGGGGGGTCATGCTCAATCAGTACTAATGAATGCTCACGTGTTCCTGCTCTCGGGCTTCATTGCAAATACCTCCTCCTTTACAAGACCTTCTGGAAAACTCTACAGCATCTCCCCAGGGCTGCCACTCTCTCAATAGCTCTCGAATACCAACACCCTTTCCTCCAAAGTCCCACAGGACATGACTCTCAGTTCACCCAATGGGAAAGGTGGCTAAAGCCTTTGTACACTGACCAGGGCATCATGCTTCTCATATAATCTAAGAGATGAGAAAAGTACTGGGCATAGGCAGGAGCTGCCATACACACCACATACCACATGCATATACACACCACACATATCACATACACACATATCACATACACATCAGACACACACATACTCATACAGACACAAACACACCACACACACATAATACACCACCACACTCACATGCATACACACGAACTCATGAATACACACACATATATTCACACAGGCACAACCACATACATGTATACATATACATACACTCTATGATGCAGTCACGCCTGCTGTCAGACAGGCAGGTCTATTGGCTGTGGGCCCGACTGTCAGTTGTGAACCCCTTCTTTCCCCTGTGACATTATTCACTTCTTCCACCTGTGCCGATGCTCTCGGTGTTCAGTGGGAAGTGGGGTGTCTCAGCTTTGTCTTTAACGATCCCCAGCTTCTCTGAAAATGTTCTGTGTCCAAGGTTCCACTATTGGCATGGGATTTGCAGTGACCACAAAATAGGACATCAGAGAGCGCAGGACATTAAACACACAGGCCACACAAGACGAGACTGCTGCCGGCCTCTGCGGAGAGTGGCTGAGCTCAGCCCTTCGAAGGCCGAGTTGTAGAAAACAATGGGGCGATTTCAGATCAAACTTGGTGCAGAAACCACAGGCGCGGGACTGCATACTAAGCAGATCTGCACACTCCTTTTCTTTGCCGAAAACCCCACATTCCCCTGCTGCTCCCTCACCCAGCTGTACCTGGCAGACGCTGAGAGGTCAGCGAAGGCGGCTGTGACCTCCCCTGGAGGAGTGGTAGCTCTGCACCCAGCCTGGTCCCACTCCCAGAAACCCCAGCTCTGTAGCTCCCTGCTTTTACCCTGTGGCCCCTCTTCTAACTGTCCTCCCTGCTGCCAGATGGCAGCTGGTTCTTCCACCTCGGGACCTGATTACTATTTTACCTCTGCTGGGGGACCCCACCCCTAAGAGTAGGAAAGTCCCCTAGGCACCCATGAGCCTCTTGCTTCTGCACCTCATCTTGTCACCCCTTCAGTGCAGAGATCTTCACATGGTTTACAGTCTGAAACCTTAAACTGTGACTCGTTTTGGGATGTCCACTCTTCCCATGATGGGTGTAAAGGCTGGGTCTAGCCCTCTGGAGCCAGAAGCAATTCTGGAAGCCACATGGGCAGTCAGGGACACCTGATAACCCAGTGCTCCTTATCCCTGCAGTATGAGCCTGAGGAATCCTATTTTGAACCTCAGTTGCTTCATCTGTAAAATGGAAAACAGATACAATTTTTCTCACTGCATGCACAGCGCAGGACCCATAGTGGGTGCTCCTGTTCTGTGACTCTCTGACATACAAGGAATGTTCCTGTCCTATGGCTAACTGGTGTATAATCGGTACTGCCAGGACAAGGGCACCTCGTTCCCATCTGTTTCTTACCTGCCCTGTGCAGTCTTAATGCCTCTAGGATATGACAGCCTGCGAGTTGAACCCTCAGGGCCGGAATGTCCAGAGCTAGGGGCTTGTTGGTTCCGCCTTGGTCTCCACCAGGCTGTGGAGGCGATGAAGTCCCCTGCCCAGTCTTGCTTTCCACTGAGGTTGGCACAAGACAGTGGATGAAGTGCAGCTGAGACCGACTCAGCAAACTGATGAGAGCATCCTGGGACCAAAGCAGACAGGATCAGAGCTGGTGTCTCAAGGGGAAGCGGACAGGCACACACTGAGCATCGCCTTGCTCATCCTTGGGGACTCCCTGTGTCCCACACCCAAGACCTTGTGCTTATGCTGGTCTATGTTTGGGAAAAATAAAGAGCCCAGTGGACACAGCTGGGGAAACTGAGGCATGGGAGAAGTCAGTGTGTGTGACTAGATCACAGAGACACCCCCAGCAAAGGAACTATGACTGGAACCCAGGACTTAGTACTTGGGGTTAATATTCTGTGAGGGTTTCATTCTTCAAGCATATTCTTCCCGTGGTCCGCAATCTACAACCACAGTTCTCATTTGTGCTCAGCCTGCCCAGGACAAGTCCGACGCTCACATCTGTTAGCAGGTTAAAGTAGCATGTTCACATGGATGCTGGATCCTGCTTTCTGAACCCCGTCAGAGAAGGTGTCTCGGGGAGAAAGGCAAGTGGAGCTAGTCTAACAGTTCAGACAAGGGGGCAACGCCCCCTCACAAGGTCCTCAGCTCAACACCAAATGCCCAAGCCTCTGGCCTTGAACCTGGGTGAGTCATTTCTCAGGGGTGGCCTTGGTCACGACTCTCCAAGACTTGGAACCTCTGTGTCCCTCTCAGTAGAGCGGGGGAAACCTATCTCTGTGGTTTTGCAAGATGCAGTAGAAGTGAGCAACCTGGTGGGGTGGTGGTCCATGTGATGGAGGTCCAGGGTCACGTGGGTCATAGCCCAGCTCACCCACTCACCATCTGCAGCTTGATCTGGGCACAGGGAGCCTTCCTCTTCAGTGCAGCAACGCCGCTGGCAAAAGCCCTCCGCACCACACGACTCCGGTGCAGAGCCTGCTGGGAGGTGCCCTCAAGCCCTGCCACCGCACGGCACACAGGAGGCAGCTTGGCCCGGGCCTGGAAGAGGTTCTGCAGCTCCTCCCTAGTGAGGAAGAGAGAGGAAAAGAGAAGGGGTTTCAAGGGACTCTCCGGTAAGCTCACCCATATGGAAGGAAGGCATGAGTGCCTCTGTTCACAACCCTTCTGTCTCAGAAATGCTGGCTCCCTCCTGAGCAACTCCCTCTCCTACCCATGAGACTCTCCCTCCTGGCAATCCTACGAAGCCCCTTCCATCCTGAAGGCATAGCCATGTTAATTATCCCTAGAGTAGGCCAGGTATACAGTAGGTACCAACTATATGACTGTAGGAATGAATGACTTGCTGCTACATGACAATAATGAAGTGCCCAGGCTTACACCTAAAGAGTCTCCACCTGCTCTCAGCCTCCCAACAACCGGCCTCTTCCAACACATATTGCAAGGCTGCCTGGCTACTAAGGCTCCCTAATGGGCCCAAGCTGGTTTGGTTCAAGGGCAGAGATACAGAACCAAGGTGCCCAACAGAGAAATGGATAAAGAAATATAGTTTGTATCACAACAGAATTCTTTGTGGGTCATGCAGAAGAATGGAGGTAGGCCATTTTCAGAAAAAATAGCCATAACTGGAAATAATCACATTAAAAGACCTCAGGCAATCTCAGAAAGACGGGATCACTGTTTGCTCTAATCTGTGGACCCCAGACCTGATGGAAACGTAAGGTCATATGTGTTCTGATTCCTGACAGTAGAAGTAAATCCATCTAGGAGCAGAAAGGACTAATGGGGGGCAGAAATAGTGAGGTAGAGCGAGAACCGGCCCAAAGCACATGTATGCTACACAATGGCTGCCATCCAACCCTTCAGATAGAGCCATCTACACGGGGGCCAGGAAAATGGCCTCCCATAATCCTGCATCATAATTTTGAATAATATATCAAAGTTTTTTTTTTCAAAAAGAAAAAGGCAGCTGGACAGAACCCACTGCTCCAGTGGAAGGAGTTAGAAGCCGGAGGCCTGGTGCCTGCCACATGCCACCTGTCCCGGCTCTTCACTAAGCATTTGGGGCTCTCTCATCACTACCCAAAAGCCCAAGTCCCACTCCAGATCCAGACCTAAAGTCACGTGATCCAGATCACTGCACACTGACTCACGGGGGCCATAGGTGTGTGAAATGGGTTAAAAGCGTGAAGAGGTAACAAGATTCGACAGAGGTGTGGTGTACGGTACCCCAATACCAAAATCTAACCAGGATGCTGACACAGCACCCAGGAGTCACAAGCTTGGGGTGGAGATGGCAGGTGCTCCCAATCCCAGCCCCGACCTAATGTGTGGTCCTATCCCATGGAGTGGATGGAACCTTCTGCTCTTCTGTTTTTCATGTGACTTTGGGCAAGTCCCCTGTTCTCTGTGGGACACCTCACCTCCCCAGTAAGATATGACCAAGGCAATTTTGCTGTAGCCTGAGGAACTGCCAGACTTCTGAAAGCCCTTGGGACTCGAGTACTGAACTCGGTCCTGGTGTGTTTGCTGACGCTCTGACTACAGACCTTCACTCTAAGATCCAGTAGGGCTTGGTCTTACAGTCACCAGGGTAGGCAACCAGCTGCAACAAGTTCAAGTTCTTTTGGTTTTGTTTATTTGGTGTTTTGTTGTTGTTGTTTATTTGTTTATTTTATAAACAGAGTTTCACTGTGAGACCTGGCTTGCTTAGAATTTACTATGTGAGCCAGGCTGGTCTCAACTCACAGAGATCCACCAGCCTCTGCCTCTGAAGTGCTGGGATTAAAAGTATGCTTCCTCATGCCTGGAAAAACATTCTAATAGGATTTGTACCCAGTGCTACTATGCCCTTCAGCCCTTGTCCAAGCACCAAGACCCAGATTCACCTGGTCAGTAAGAGTTGCCTCGCCCCCCTGACTCAACACCCCTCACTTGGCTTCAGATGTGGGGTGTCAGAGCAGAAAGGAACTCTTCAGAACCCCAAGGTGTGCCCTGAAAGTCTGCTGCAACTCAGCCTCCTCCCTAAGCTGCCTGCTACTTTATACTGTAGAAGTTTTACTAAGCACCCATGTGTGGCCACCACTCCCACGTCTCATGCTATGGAATGGAGGCCCGGGCTTTCTGGTGTGCGCTGAAAAGAAACTGGGGCACAATCTGCATGCCCCCTGTTTGTGGAGGAGAGCTGGCCTGCTGAATCTTCTGCTTCTGGCTTTGAGTTTATGGTGACAGAGGTCCCGGGAGAGAGCGTGGCTGCTCACCATCACACCAAAGGGTAGAACTGTGGCTTGACCCCGGTGTCCTGATCCCCACTCAGTAACCCTCTTTCTGCCTTACTTCTCCTCTGGGTCTCTGCAACAGCGATGGACTCCCTTGGCCTTCTGAGTTTTGGGGGTTCCAATGAACCCTGACCATAAGACCCTAAGAGCTTCCCTGAGCATTGTTGAGGTTTAAGCTGTATCCTGGCTGTGCCAGCAGAGTCAACAGCAAGGGGCTTCGCCACTGGAGATACGTTTCCCCAGCTGCAAAATGGAGCTAAGAATGCGTATTCCTCTGAAGAGGAATAAGACAGAGCACACAGTAGGCACTCAGCATACATTTCCTGATTAGTCTACCTACCCAAAACCCTTGTCCCTCCTCTGCCTGCCTCTAGGCTCTGCCCCAGCAGGTTTCCAGCACTGAACTTGAGAGGCACGCACCCTCACGTAGCAAGTGTTTTCTATTAACCTGGAAATGGAGTCTGGATTGCTGCAGGCCTTGTTCCAGTGCTTCTGGGACGAGCGAGCAGGGAGCTCAAAGAGCTTTTTCTACTGCTACAAAACATATCATTTTGGTTTTACGAGCCCCCGGGTTCTAGGATGTCCATAAAAGTTACTCCAGTCGCATCATCTCTCAGATACTTAATGAGAGGTGGAAAGCCAAAATACAGAGACACAGCTTCACGGCTGTGAGCTGACTCCCCCAAGGCCTACTCCGCTCTGCCCCCAGGTCTGCTCTGCCCCCAGGTCCGCTCTGCCCCCAGGGAGACATTGTGCTACTCCAATTGGAGTCATGGCCTTCGTTCCGCTACTGCAGACAGATGGGATTTCTAGACCGCCGTCCTCACTCACTGGCTTGTTGCTGAACAGAAACAGCCATAGGGGACAGGTGTGCTGTCCCACACCCAGCGAGGCTCACCTTTTTGACTGCTGCAGGACCTGGGGGGCCTCCATGGCTGAGAGGTTGGGCTTGGCTCTGCGAAGCCAGCCTGTGAGGTCATAGCGCACAGGGTCCAGTCCCAGCTGGTGGAATACCTCACATTGAAGGGGCTGCTCGCAGGTCCGCAGCACAGGGGGTCCTGGAACGAGACAGGGGCACAAGCATTGGGGGTCTGTCAGGATTGTGTGCAATAGTCAGTGTGTTTCTAGACAGCTAAAGCTGGCAGTTCCTGGTGTACACACTCGCTGCAGTAGTGAGGTGCATGCCTTACTTCCAAATCTGTTCTTTTTTGTGTTCTTAAGCCCCAGATGCCTATTCAGCCCAAAATCAGAGAACACACATTCTTCCTGAGTGTCCCATATGTACCTAGCTGTCATCTGGGTCATGATTTACATCAGGTTTTGTTTAAACCGGCTCACGTTTTTACAGGCACGTTCTTTATAAAAGAAGTGTTTGACCGTGAACCTGGTGTAAACAAGCACCATTTCTTTCCTACCATGCGTGGAGATAAGTGGCTGTTAAATACCTTAAAACATGCGTCCATGGGAAACCTAGAACCCTCTGAAGTACCATGAATCAAACAAAGGCTCCTTTGGGAGATAGCAAACCCTTGTAAACAAGAGACAGGACCAGAGACACAGAAGAACTGGCCGTGGGGTTAGAGGGAAGCAGATTCACTGGAACAAATTCCTGCGTGAAAGGGACCAAGTCCCACTCTCCCCAAGGTTTAGTTCTCTGGTCTGCAAAGTGACATTTAAATAATACATACTTCCCAAGGTGGGGGAGGGTCAAGGGCTGTATAAGACGTCAGCTAGCCCGTGGCACGTGGTACTCGCCGAGCAAGCGGCAGCCTTGCTCCACTGTTTACTAAAGTTAACCTTTGGTGTTGCTTCAGAATCATTGTTTATCTCTCTGCCCTTAGTGCTCAGCGTCATGCTTGGCATATGGATTGTAGGAAGCACTGGGGATGTGTGGATGAGTAAATGGACGCTACTGGGACATAAAGCCTTGTCTTGTATTATTTCGGTCCTTCGTTAACTCCCCCATAAGACTGGATGTCCAGGCAGGATCTTTTCAGCCCTTTCTATTCAACCCCTACAACAGAATGCATAGCAGAACTTGACTGGGACACAGGTTCCCTGGAGACTCCCCCAACCCTTGTTGGGCTCTGTGGTGGTTAGGATGAGAATGGCCCCATTTAGGCTCATAGATTTGAACACTTGGGCATCAGGAAATGGCACTATTATTTCAAGGATTAGGAGGTGTGGCCTTGTTGGAGGAGGTGTGTCACTGGGGGTGGCCTCTGAGGTTTCAAAAATTCCGTTCCAAGTCATGAGTCTCTCTTCCTACTGTCTGTGGATCCAGATGTAGAACTCTCAGCTACCTCTCCAGCACATCTGCCTGCACATCTGCCTGCATGCCGCCATGCTCGTTGCTATGATGACTATGGGCTGAACCTCTGAACCATCAGCCAGCCCCAATTAAATGTATTCTTTTGTAAGAGTTGCTGTGATCATGGTGTCTCTTCACAGCAATAGAACAGTGCCTAAGACAGTCTCACTGGTCTGTAAGAAGACACTCAGCAGAGGTCATAGTATCCATTTATTCTCAAGAGCACAGAGCTCTTTAGGAAGATCTGGGAATAGGGGAGTCTTTGAAACCAAAATGTCTGAATTAACATGTCTGTCCTGGACCATTCAGGACAAAGGACAGAGTCTCCCCCTGGGAACAGAGAGCCTTGGAGTATCCAGCTCAGAGTACCTGGGGTTGAACCATCAAGCCTAAAGAAAGAAAGGTTTACAGACTTAAGTGGGTCCTTCCTACCCCAGCCACACTCCACAAGACATCTCCCCCTTCTGACCCGACTTCCAGCCTCTTTGCTTTAAAGTCGGGGTGCAGATGACACCCACTTAAGAATTTCATTTTATTGGCTCCACATCATTGACTTCACGTATTCATCCATTTTGTGTCAAGAACCTGTGCACTTAGTCACACCAGGACTACTCTAGGAACGGCCTCTGTGAGGAGGCCAGCCCAGCTCTCATCCTGGAGGAGCCGGGCTACCCTGCGATGGGATGTCTGATGGAAACGTGTGTGATGTCAGGTGGTGGAGAAAGTAAAGGTGTGGGAGTCAGCCGTGGTGTGGGGTGTTGTTTACACAAGGTGATGGCCAGGGAGGACCCCAGACTCAAAGGAGCTGAGGAAGTCCACCCATTGTGCTGGGATGGAGTAGAAGGGTGCCTTTGTGCACAGAACTGGCAGTTCACGGTCCCTGGAGTGAGGGTGTGCATGGCACATTTGAGGAGTCACAGAGAGGGGGCTACTGTGCACTGCTCAATTTTCATGAGCATAACCGGAGACAGGCTCCTATATTTTAAAAAAGGTTCTAACTTCATAGTTTTGGAGGCTAGAGGTTCAAATAGAATGGTGTCGAGTTTCTCTGGGATTTCCCTGGTTACGTTATATTGTAACAGGTATGTGTATGTGCGCATGCGCACGTACATGCACATGCACATTCAATCCTGCTTTGCAAGTGTTACAATGTACAAACAGGTAGACCATATTACTAATATACAGGCCTGCATTACATGTGTATGTATATATATGTAAACATTATATTTGACCTGATTTTCCCACTGCACTTAATAGTTGTTAGCACACATTTGTGACCTCCTAAAATAGACCCAGGTACTGTGATTGTGAGCAAAAAAGTCAAAGCCTTTCCCAGCTGGTATAGGCAGGCTCACACACTGAGGCAGGACGTGCCCCCATCCCTACCCATGCCTCCCTTACCATCCGCCCCAGCCGACTTCTTCTCAAAGGCTGTGCGCAGACGCTCAAGCACCACACTGTCACTGGAGCCTTCCACCCGGACCTCTTCATCCAAGACCCAGAAAAGGCCCCTGGCATCCTCAGAACTTCTTCCAGCCGGTAGGTGGACCTGGTGGGAGATACAGTGTGTGCTGAGACTCAGTTCTGGACATTCTTCCCAGTCCTCAGGACTAACATGCCTGCTGGGCCTTCACAGGATCCTGCTCAGCCTTCACTCCCATACTGAAGCAAGAGCTGTCTGCAAAGGGTATGATTCCTCCCCACCTCCATCTTTCTGACCCTGGACAACCTACCGAATCCCCTCTGAGCCTTGTTTCCCCATGTAAAACAGAGCCTGGAAAGGCCTTCCCCAGAGGGCCGCCCTGGGGACTTAAGAAGTGTGTCTGCTTGTAATTCCTCCCCAGTCACACAGGAAGCTACAGCGTGTGCACAGTCGGCCCACCACACTACTCCCCCTTCGAAATCTTGGTATTTTATTATACTGAGATCTCAGGGAAAAAATTTAAAGAGATAAGCACCCAAGGAATATGCTAGAGGACATGAGCTTGATTCCACAGCAGACATGGAACTTTAAAGCTACCCGTAGCAACCTTCCAGGAAACCTATGGATTTGCCGACTGGTATATGAGAGGGACCTGGTGAGGCTAGGTTGGCACAAGGAACAATGGGCTGAGTAGTGCTGGGGAATTAGAGGTGTCAACACCTGTCAATGCCGTGTGCCTGGGGCCCTGGGCTGCCCACCAACTGGGGCTCTCAGAACTGAAGCAGGGCTCTGATGACCTTTCCATCTCTAAAGCCTGGGGAGGGCAAGGGACACACTCAGGGCCCCATGGTGGCCACAGGGGAAAAGCCTAGAGGACCATTGGCCCTCATCACTGGAATCAAGATGGACAGTTGGTCCATCCTTCCTTAGGAGAGGCCCTCAGAAACCACAGTCCGGGTCCCTCTGACCACTGCACTCTCCCAGCTGACCCCTTCGACGGATGATGGGCTATGGAGAAGGAGGCTTCACAGGGCAGCTGATCCACTGTGACCTGAGGAGCAGCAACTGTCCTAGCCAGCAGGAGACAGGATGAGGGGCTGCAGACTGCCATAGCCCGAGGCAGGGCAAGGGCCACTGACAGGACCTTCTGGTCTCACTCAGTGGCAAGTGCTTTCTATTTGGTGTTTTGGTGAGGTTATACCCACTCAGAGAAATACACCGTCCCCACCTCATGAAGGGGAAACCGAGGCAGAGAGAAGTGGAAAGATGGGTTTAAGCTCATCAAGATTGAACCCATGCCTAGATTGCTCCATAGCCCACAAACTTTCACACTAAAAAGCAAAGGGCAGAAAGCAAAAATAAGAAGCTAGGGTCAAAGGTCAAAGGTCTCTGACAAGGGTGAGCTGAGGTACAGTCATCAAGTTCTGGAAATGAGGATGATGTCAGTGAGAGCCCTCTCCCACAGAGGCCTATCTGCCTCCAAGGTCCCTCCCTCCCTCCAGTCCCTGCAGCCAGCATCTTCAGCTGAATCCCAGATGCTCCAGTGGGAGCTGCGGGCGTCCTGACACGTTTGGCTCCTGTCAGGCCCATGTGAGTCTGCTATAAGGCATAGCACAGAACTGAGTGCATGCCTTAGGCTTCAGGGCATCTCCATGTTCACACCCCACACCAGTCAAGGGCTGTAACTATCCCTGGGGAACCCTGATTCAAAGAACTTGGAGAACAGGCACCAGCAAAGCCTGGGAGCCCCAGGGCCCAGGATGCTCTCTTACCTGGGAGGGATTATGATCCACAACAGCCACCGTAATTCCTGGGGATGGCTCTGGGAGGTCAAAGTGCACGGGAATGCCTTCCTGAAATTCATAAAATGTGTATGTTAGTTTCCTCTGTGAGTTCAGGGGTTGGGGGAAAAAGTGAAGCTTCCAGCATGATTAAGTCATCCTTTCAAAGTTACTTTTAAAATTGTGAAATGTATGTAGCAAAACTTTGTCCCCTGACCACTTCTAGATGGGTGACATCGATGGCATGGGTGCCAGTGTGCCAGCTTCCTACTGTGCTCCGAACTGTTTAAAATGACAGTGCGGACATCAGCAGTGTTCAATGCATGCCGAAAACGGCCAACTACACAGCTCCCACACTTCCTGCATGCTAAGACTGCAGACATCCCACCTTCCCAGCCTATGACTTTGCTGTCAACACCCCCACAAAGAGGTATCACCCAGTGTGTGTATCCTTTGCTGACTGCTGCATGTCACTTAGCAGAATGTCTTCAAAGTTTGTGCACACTGTAGCAGGAACCAGAACTAACTTCCTAATGATTGGGCGATGTTCCATAGAGCCTGTCAGCCGTGTTTTCTTGGTATGTTCCTGCACAGAACAGTTGGGTTGGTGACCTAGCACAGCCCTCTCTCTGCAGTGACTAGTGTTGCTAGGAACATGGGTGTTGAAACATCTCTGCAAAAATGCTTGGCGTGTGGACCACAGACCCTAGAGCCATGCCCAGACCAAAGTGCTGCCCTGTCCCCAGACACTTCTCAACAATGAGAAGGTCTCTCATGCCATGTCTTCAAGGCAGTGTATTCTGCAGATGTGCTATCTCCAGTGATAGCAGATGTAAGACTCTGCATTTTCCATGTGATGAAAACAAGGGTCAGGGAAGGTCACCAGGTTTTCTAAGGCGACACAGCCAATCAATGCCACTAGATTGGGACTCTCCAACCTGGAATTATTCTTTTGTGTCTGATGAATGTTAGCTCCAACTAAAGGAATAGCTGAGTCCAAGCCCCTTATCCTACTGTCCCCGCCCTGAGCACTCACTGGAGGAGAACCGGGTAGTGGATACACACTGAGTCCACATGGATACGCTCTCTTTGTTGTCTGCTCAGGGTTTGTGCATTCCTCTGTGCCGACAGTGTGAGTGTGCCCCCTCTGATGGCCAGCATGGACATAGGAAGAAAGAGGCCATTCAGAGGTGACTGGGCCTTATGTGTTCCTGGTTCACATACTAAGGATGTATGGAAATCCCCACAGAAGGCATGTGACCAGGTGCATGCTCCTGCTACTCCATTAGAAGTGACTGCTTATCCCCCAAAGGGTGGTCAGCCCTGTGTCTGTACACAACAGCAGCTCGTGGGGAACCGTCTGCACCAGGGCAGAGGCAGAGGTAGCCAGACCTGGAGCAAGGTATCATGCAGGTACTCGGGTCAGTTGGAATGGACATTCACTCTACCCGTTTAGCCTCACCCCTGGGCACAGGCCTGGGAGGCCCCAGTCCAGCCGACACACACCTCTCGGTATCTCTCCAGAGTAGAAGCAAAGGTCCTGTGGTAGAACAGCAGCTGCAAACGCTCCTGGGCATAATTGTAACACAGCTCCTCAAAGGTGGCCGCCCGGTCCTTGCCCTGGTGCCGAGGATTCTGAAAGCCTGGAGAGTCAACCACCATGATGGACGCCATAGACAGATGTTGGGAGGAGAAAGATCTGGGGAGAGAAAAGATCTGCTGGTTTGACCCTCCTCTAGCAGAGATGGAGAAACTGAGGCAGCATTCAAGGTGGATTTGGAGATCTGGCAGATCTGGCTCTGAACCCAAGCTCACCATGTATAGGCTGTGTGACTCCCGCCCCAGGCGATCTACTTAACCTCTCTGAGCATGACTTTCCCCAGCTGTTACATGATGGCAGGAGTGAGTTGGTCCAGGGCTGCAGTAAAGGAAGTGTCAGTGTGTCTCGTGAGGCGAGGACGCAGCAAGTTTGCAGTCAATGTGACTTCTCCATTCTGGTTGGAAGCCACCAGAGAAATCCCTCTCTTTCCCCATAGCATGCTGAGCTGAGAGATCACATTGTGTAGGTTATCACTTCCCTGAATACTTCCAATGTTTCTGTCTGGACAGACAGCCCAGACTGCTTGCCTCAAAAGACAGAATGGAAAGACTTCTGAAGCATGGGCTGCCATTCCATCTGCCCCAGAGGGCTGTGTGTCTCTGGGGAGCTGCCTGAGCTCTCTGGTGCTTGGCTGTGACATGATTCAAGGCAGAGGCCAGCTCTGAAGGCTTCTGGGAGAGTGGGGCATCACACCACACCCACACCCACTGCTGGGACCACACAGCACCCTGTGATTGGTGCTCAGCAAAGTCCTCTGCTCCCGCCATCTCCAGCAACATCTGCCGTCAGATCTGGAGAACAGGCTTTGGACCTTAGTTCTCCATTCTCCTCATGAAGATTTTTCTATCTATACAAAGGGGGGCAGCTGTCACAGAGACGCGCATGAGAGGAGGGTGAAATTGGGGAGGGAGGCGCTCCCTAGAGCCCGTAATGGACGTGGTGACCTTCCTTCTCAGCAAAGCCTCTATTGTAGAGATGCTGGCAGGCCACAGGCAGGATAGGTGGCCTCTCTGCTCCCCTTCACTCCAAGCTCACAGCCCTCCCTTCCTCGAAGCACAATGATCCCTCAGTTTTTGATATGGTGCCTGTGCCTCCCAGCGGATGGTAATTACTCAGATAGCGATAAAGGGAGCTGATTCCAAGGCCCTGGCAACTGGAGATCCCGGCTGCTCGGTTGCTACGCAGCAGCGGCTCATCCCTTAACAGGATTCAGAAGTCTAATTATGCTGCGCACTCTTGCAGAGAAGGGGACCCCCTCCCTGTGTTCCCCACGGGTCATGCTGGAGCTGTTCAATGGACTTCTGAGGAAGATGGACTTGGAGCAGCCTGGTATTCTCCCTGGACTGCCACCCCATAGGCCATCCTGCTAGTCTGCCCTGCTCGTCCCCTACACCCAGAAGGAAAAGCTGGAGAAATAAATGATAAGGGCTGTACACTGAAAGACAGCAGCAGAGGGCAGCATCTCACCGGCTCCCCATGCCACACCTTGTTCTGTCTCGTCTGCGCACTGGGCCCATGTGAGAAGAAAACAGCACAAGGCAGGGTGAATCATTAGGACTGTCCCCAACCCTTAGCAGGTGTTACCAGATCTGCAAGTTTTGTTGGGGTGTGAGTGCACATGTGTGTGTATGTGTGTATTTGTGCACACACATGTGTGCATGTGTATGTGTGTACCCATGCACATGTATGCATGTGTGTACACATGTGCATAGCTGTGAGCACATGTGTGTGAGAATGACCACATGTGCCCATACATGCATGTGCATACCTGTGAGCACATGTGTGTATAACCACATGTGCCCGTACATGCATGTGTGCGTGTGTGATCACATGTGTGTGCACATGTGAGTGTGTGTGTACATGTGTGTATGCATATGTATGTGTATACAGAAGTTTTTGTCATGCCATCTGTTGTTGGTTTTCTCTCTACTTTTTGAGGCAGGGTTTCTCTCTGAATGTGGAGTCAGTGCTTTGGCTCGCCGATGGTCTGCCTAGCCTCACCTCCCCAGGGCGGGGATTACAGGTCTGTGCTTCCATGCCTGATTTTTTTAGGTGGGTGCTGGGCCCTGAACATTGTCCCTCCGGTTCGAATGGGAGAACTTTGCCTTTTGAGCTGCACCCCCAGGTCTCCCACGCCCCCAGGTCCTGTGCCCCAAGGCTCTGCTCTCCCAGGTCCTGCTGCTGGGATTTTCACTGTTAGAAATGTACTTCAATGTGTTGCTCCCTTGTTCTAATGTCCCAGTAAGCCCAGAGGAAACAGCAGCTTTCAAGCTGTAGAAACCAGAGGACTAAATGGACTTGGGGAAGTCACATAGCAAGGGCGATATTCAAGGCCAGCTTTGCCTTAGAAACCTCTCCTCTGTTTACAGTATCCCACTCTGAAAAATGCCCCTGGTTGGTGCCCATTACGCACTGCAGAAGGCCCGGGTTCGGTCTGACAGACCACCATTACCTGTTGATGAGGGAGACCACGGCCACAAAGAGCTCTTCGTACAGGCCAGAGGCCATTCCCTCCACACATTCCACACCTGTCATCTTGAGTCCTGGGATGGGGGAGACAGAAAACGATTAATACTTGGAGGCCAAGACCTCTCCCAGGGCCAAGAGCATCGATACCAAGCAGCCAGGGTCACCAGGGAGAGAACCATATCCCTCAGTGCTCCCATAATGTGTGTGTGGTTTTAAGAAAGGTGCTAACAACCTAGCAAGACCCAAGGGTCTCCCCTAGCATGTGCCATGTCTCTCCCAGTGCCTCACATGGTCCTCAGAGAGCCACTGAAATGTTTGGATGAGAATGACTCCCACAGGCTAACACATCTGAATATCTGTCTCAGTTGGCAGAACTACATGGGAAGGATTGGGGGTGTGACCTTGTAGGAGATGCGGTCTTCGAGTGTTTCAAAAGACTTGAACCATTCCCCATGCTTGGGGTTGAGATGCAGCTTTCTGTGTTTTTCCAGCCTGTCACCTGCCACCACACCAAATGCTTCTTCTAGAAGTTGCATTGATAATGGTGTCCTATGATGATGATGGAAAGGAATATGTCGCTGTATTTTGAACATGGCGCCACATTCCATGCTCAGTCCTCAGGCGAGCACTACCTCAAGGTGGTAGGAACTTGAAAAAGCAGGGCCCTGGGGGGGGGGGTCTAGGTCACTAAGAGCATGTCCTGGAATGATGGAACCCTTGATTGCTCTCTTAGTCCAAATAACCCTTATGAATATGACTGGCTCCCGTCCTTAGTACAGTAGAAAAATCTGAGTGTGGGGCTGGAGAGCCAGTCCCAGCCTGGGCATATAGCATCGGGTTTATACCTATGCTTTATAATTAGACTTTATACTTATTCTTCGCTTCCATGGTCTTTATTAGTTTAAACTATGTCTCCGTTCTGAGACTGGGAGTGCTCTGAAGTGAGGAACCATCTCTGGGGTTGGGGCTTTAAGTCCTTAGCGCCAGGCACAGAATGGAAGTGTGGATAGCGTGTGAGGTGCTCGTTCCTCTGGAAGCAGTCACGGCTTCACACTCAGACTCAATCACTTCACTCCTAAGATTTGCTCGGTTGAAATCTTCTGAGAAACACAGAAGTCTGGGTTCACAGAGTCTCCCAACTGTTGGAATTGGCCAGAATCACTTTGTTGAGATAACTTGGTCATTCAAGCAGAACGAATGGTGAGATAATTGGACTCTGTCAGCCCAGAGGCACAACTTGGACACAGAACAGCGGGGAATAGCAGAAGATCTCTCTCCAGCGCTGGGGGTAGGGAGGCAGCAGGCCTCAGACTTGACTGAACACAGGGGCATGAGTGTGTCCCATGAAAGCAGCTGGCCTGGACGAGGCTGTGCCACGGAGATCAGCCAGTCACAGCTCCCGACCTTCTGCCCAGTTTCCGTCATAGAATTAGAATCCATTTCCCCTCAAGACAAATATTTCTGCTTCACATTCTAGACAGCCTGCCCACTGTTGCTCCCAAGCTTTTCCCATCCCTCCTTTATCTCCATCCCCACCCTGGGCTGTTGCTAGGCAACCCACAGCCTCACAACATTGATCTGAGGCATACAGGTCCCTTGCCTGCTTAATGTCTATCTCTGAGACCTTTGTGGACAGACCAACTCAGACTCAAGAAGTGGTGTGTCTATCTTGTGTGCATTCTGTACATGTGTCTTTTCATGTATGTGGCACACCATGTGTATACATGCTGCTTACCTATGCATATGTATTGTGAGCACACATATGTGAACATGGGTGTGCACACACAAGCTTGCCATTTACATGTGTAGTGTGCAACGAAAGAGAGGAAGAGATGGCAGAGTATAAACTGGGAAGGAAACAGAAGAGCCGTCCACCTTATTGGAAGATAGGCAGCTCCAGGGACCCACGGGACAAAGAGGTTTGTCCCCGAAGGTAGTTCACACAGCCCTTCCTCCTTATCACAAACTTGCTATATGACAAAGCACACCTCTGTCTTCTACAACCACAGCCTCAGGACCCTGGAGAGCCACCTTCATGGGTACAGCCTCTCATCTGTCCTTCACCAGGGCAAGACCCAACCTTTCCCAATGGCTCCTCAGACCCAGTCCAAGATGGTGCCCCAGAACTTACATGTCACCTCCGTGTGTACCCTAGACCCAGCATCTGCCCCATCCCCCTTTCATGTAGTGACATGTGTGTTTATGTGTGAGTGTATGCGTGTATGCATAAGTATGTGCTTGTGTGTGAGTGTATGCATGTTTGTTTGTAAATGTGTTTGTGTTGTCTTTGTGTGTGAGTGTGTGTGTTTATGTGTGTGTGTGTATGAGTGTGTGCATTTGTGAAAGTCAGAGGGTGACACTGCTGTCTTCTTCCATCACTTTGCACCCTATTTTTTGAGACAAGGCCCCTCACTGAGCAGTAACTCACCAGCTATGCACGGCAGGAACTCTGCCACTGAGTCCTGTCCCTCAACTATGGTCTCCACAGGTTCTCAGCTCTCCTCCTCGTGGCTCAGCTTTCCAGCTGAGATTTCCTGAGAACAAGCCTCGTCCTCCCTCTTTAAGCCACTCTTCAGTTTCCCATCAGTCACTGCAACTGTGTATGCTGATAGGTACCTGCCCTTCACCCTCTCTCCCACATCCCCCCAGCTCCAGATGCCCCGGCCTCATTCTCATCCCTCACACAGGTAGAACTTCCTCTTCTACCTATCAAGCACTCCACAAACACGAACCACAATGGAAACACATCAGCCTCTAGGCACAGCCTGATGTCCCCTCTCCCAGCACAGAGGACCCACTCAGGACTCTGCAGCCTCCATGGTTAATGGTCAGAGAGAGCTGTTTGACCATAAGCATCAGTCAGGGAGGAACCGTTTCCTTTTCCCCCAACACTGGCATTCCCCAGCCTGGCACTTGTGCACAGAGCAACTCTCCTAAGCTGTCTTGATGAACACGTGAAGACACTGAAAGCATGTAGCACAGCCACCAGCACAGTCTCTGCAAAGAGTGTGGTCTTGAGTGTTTGGTACCTGAGCAGGCTTCGTTGTCCTCCAGGCCCTGGCGCTGTGGCCCTGATGTCATCTGCTCGAGAATCTGCCGCAGGTGGTGCTTGAAGGTGGCGGAATTCAGCTCCTCGTAGTCACAGCCCAGGGCCTCGGCAGCGCGGTTGGCCCACTCAAACCGCATGAACTGCTTCCGACCCACTGTGCAGAGGACAAGGAAGAGGTGGAGTGAGATGCCAGGCACAGGGTGGCTGCGTGCCCAAGAACACCTCAGGGAGTCCTGCCACTCTTCCATCTATTTTTGTCTTTTTTTTTTCAAGCTAATAAGGGAAACACTCTAAATGGAGACTGGGGTAGAATTTGGGCATATCCACCCATGTGTTTATTTACGTGCACACCTACTGTTTTTTGACCCTTGCCTGCCTAATCAACCACCCAAACCCTTACCCAGTCACCCAGCCACACATCTAACCTCCTTGCTCAGCACAGTTTACAGAGCACCTTTGACATGGCAGAAAGTCACACACAGTGACTGCCTCATACATCTGTCTTACAGTCCAGGTAGGGAACTGGGCAAGAAACGAGCAGACAGGCAAACAAGGGAGATGAGTTCAGGCGGTTCATACCGCAAGGAGAAACTAAACCAGAATAATGGACAAAGAGAGATGGATGTCCGCTGCCCAGAGGAACCCTGGAAAGATGCGAGAGTGGGCTTGGGCTGTGACCAGCGAGGAGCTTAGAGGTGAGGAGGTGGTGGAAAAGCCAGGGACAGAAGTGAGAGAGCTGTGTCAAAGACAAGCAGTCCACCTGGAGCAAAGTGGGGTCGTCAGAGAATCATGGGGCGCCATTTAAAACACTCCCTGACTGTACAGCACACACAGTGCTCACAGATGGGGTTAAGCAATAGCGGGTGAAAAACCACCCCACAAGATACCATGATGTCATTTCATGAGAAAAGTGAGGAGGGAGGGCAGGGTGGGAAGCCTGAAAGTCCCGAGTTCAGTCCCCAGACCCCGTACGTCTGAATGAGAGCTAGCGTGTGGCCGTTGTCTACACATGCCACACAAAGAAACAGATGTCTTTACATCTCTGAAAATTACATGACAAGCAGGAATGTAGTCAGACAGAGTAAAGAATTGACATTTTCTAAATTCCCCACAGTAGCTGTGGACTGATTTGTGACCCAAATACAAATAACTGACTAATTAAAACAAATCACAATGTCTCCTGTCTGCTCACAAACCATGACTCCCTGCAGACATCCCTCTGCCCCCCGGGTGGCTGCCAGGGCCCAGTGTGCCAAGGAGACATCTGAACAATCAGTCTCGGAGCAAAATTGGATCCCCGTGGGAGAGACCCTGCCTGAGACTTTAACCAGAGCTACCTGGAGAAGGCGGCAAATAACATCTGCTTGCTGGGTGTCCTGTGGGCAAGCTACGCAGGAAGCTCACCACAGATGCCACTTTGAGACCTGAGGAAGTCAATCATATCTGATGACACAGTTGATGGTGGTGGTGATGATGGTGATGATGGTATTGGTGGTGATGATGATGGTGATGATGGTGTTGGTGGTGATGATGATGGTGATGATGATGTTGATGATGGTGTTAGTGGTGATGATAGTGTTTGTTGGTGGTGATGATGATGATGATGTTGGTGTTGGTAGTGGTGGTAGTGGTGATGGTGATGATGGTGGTGATGATGATGGTGATGATAGTGTTGGTGGTGATGATGATGGTGGTGGTGGTGATGGTGGTGGTGGTGATGATGGTGATGATGGCGATGATGGTGGTCATTATGGTAGTGGTGAGTATGGTATCAACAATAAGGGCAGTGTAATAGTTAAGCTTTATTGACCTTTTCTTATTTAACATGCTGTATTTTTCGCTCCCCTCATTTGAAACTTGGGAGTCTATATGATGTCCCCATGTTGCACATATGTGTTAGCCCATCCCATTTGTTATCACTACTAAATTCTAGCACTATTGCCATTTGTGCATTTTTGTGGCTTGCCTGAACTCACAATACAGCCTGAACCCTCAGCCTCCCTCCTTCACTGCTACTATAGAGGTGGATGGTCATTGTCACTTAAAGATGCAAAAAATGACTTAGAAAATCAACAGACAATAGACAGCCACTGAGAAGAACCTGTTGTCTCCAAAGCCCATCCTTCAAATGTCACCTTTAGGAAACTCATCACATCCTTAGGACCCCCAGATCCACAGTCCCTGATGGGACCTAGTCATCTATTTCTCTTAGACAAACACATTGTGGAAGGAAACATTTGTTTTGTGTCTCTAGTGAGAATCATTGTCACCTGTCACAACAGAAAGCAGAAATACGCAGGTGCCAGCAGGCCATTAGATTCTAATTAGAGCCATTGTCTCCCAGGCTGAAGCCAGTCAGCTCTCTCTTTGTTAAAAAGGGAGCTGAGCAGGCATGAGAGAGAGGCTGGACAGCCCATTAACCCAGAAGAGGCTTCCTTCTTCCTGGGCACGGGGGCTGCTCACACTAACAGGAGGTGACTCCTCTCTGTGGGTGTCTCTCATCCTCTCCTGCCCCCCCCCGCCATGCACATCTGCTCTGGAGTCCCTGCCCCATCACACCTACAGTGACTTGTCCAGCCTCAGGGAGCTGATGAAGCTGGGGAGGGAGTGGGGTGAAGTTTCTGGGAGGAGCTGAGGGTTCTGAGGTTGTCTTCTGGGCTCTGTGAGTCCTCCTGGCCTACAGGCACATTTCCAGGGTCTGTTGAAGGGTCTCCAGCTAGTGAAGCCAAGGTAGCCTGAAGGGAACTTGGACAGTAGTATAGGAGCTTAACTAAAACCTGCCTCCTCTGTCTTTGATCAGACAGGGACAGTGACCACAGCCCATCCCAGGAGTGCCAAGAGCTCAGGGGTGCCACTTGAGGGGGAGAGAGGCTGAACTGGGTGAGATTACCAGGAAGAAACAGCCTCAGATCCCAATTTCCACCACTGCCTTTCTCAGTAGTAGCCACTACACAGGCGGCTGCACAGTTATTACAATCCATAGAAGAGCCCCCAAGATCCTTTTAGAAGGGTACAAGGACAGGATGGAGCCCCACAGGAGTGTCCAGCTCACTGTCACTGCAGCTTCACCTGTAAACTCCAGGGGGCGCTCTTTTCCAGGTTCTTGCAGGGGAGGGCACCCCGTGCAGGTCTGCTGACTACTTCCAGAAATGGCTATGTACCAAGGAGACCGCTAGCTAGCATCAGGGTCCCCTCTGGGAGCCCTCAATTGACTAAGGCTCCTCCTCTACTGAGAGGAGGTCCTGTGTTAGCCCAGTGTCTGTTACCAACTCCCTCCAAAGCCAGGGACATTGTGCTCCTCAAAAGGTCAGCACTGAGGTTGCAGCGGGGGGATGGCACAGAGGGGGGATTCTCAGCATCTGGAGGAACGAGGCTTTCTGGGTTTGATCAGTTTGAGCCCTTCCTCCACAAAGCTATCAGTTAACAGTAATAATAATGGTTGAGATTTGAGTACAGGGTACGTGCCAGGGACTCTGCCTGGGCCTCGTCTATAGATACAGTTTCTTCTCCGGGAGAATGTGCAGATGGAAAGACAACTACACAGGACATGCCCAAGCTTACTGTCCGGAGGGTTACAGGAAGTGGCCCGGAGCCTGGCCAGGTTCTTCTGCCATTCATGGAGGAGCAGAGAACTGAGAGCTCACTGCTGTCACCAAGCTTCTGCCCTGGCCTGAGTCGCCCGGTGAGGAATGAGTCCAAGGGTGGATGAGCTGCAGGGCTGATGACCAGTCCTGCTCACCCCACCCTTGCCTCCCTTCCCAAGACTTGATGGATAAGAATTCTCCTCTGTGCCCAAGGAGCCAGCTGTATGGCCCATCAGAGCAGGGAACAACATCAGTCTGAAGATAAAACCAAAGGGAGCTGGGCAGAGGGGCAGACAGGCTCCGTCAAAGAGACAGAGATGAAAACCAGTTCTGACAGGTAGCAGGGTGGGCCTCTCCTGCGCGGGCTGACGCTCTTCTCATTACCTTCTAGGGGTCCAGAAGCTGTACCTGAAATATCCTCTGAGAACAGAGGTTACTCCCCAGTGTGTACGGATTGCCAGCCATTTCTTAGGTGTCTGGTGAGAAACAACAGGCAGCGCTGTCTCTCACTTGCCGGATCTCTAACACAGCCCTTTCTGGCCTTCTAGCTTCACATCACACATGTGACATGTACCCTTGCCCTTGAATTCTCACCCTAGCATCTTCAGCCAAGGCTCAGGAGGAACCACAGACTATGACCGCAGAAACCAATGTCTAACTGGGCTTCCCTTCAAATGAAGGTGGCCCAGGAAAGAGTCCAGAGAGGAAGGCAAGCCCTCGGCAAGCTGCCTTCTTTCCCTGCCATCTTGTTTATTCCCCAGAGGCTACCCGCATGTCTAACTGAGATCAGTCTCAAGTCAAAAGCAACCCGGGCCAGGCAGGGCTGACTCGGTGATTCTCAGTGACAACAGAGGTGTGGAACAGGGCAGGTGGCCTCAGAGTCGGGTGTCAGTCTCCCCAAAGTTCATCGAAAATACTTGAGGAAAAAGGGACAGAAATGGCCTCATCAGTGAAGGGAGGGCCTAAGTTCAGATCCCCAGAACCCATGGGGAAAGTCAGGGGTGGCAGTACAGGCCTGCAGTCCAACACTGGAGAGGTGGGGACGCAAGCCTGGGGTTTGCTGACCTTGCCAGTTAGTCTAGCCAAAGTGGAATGCCCAAGATACATTTGTTTCAAAAACAGTAAAGTGGAGAGAGATTGAGGAAAGCAGCCAAAGTCACCTTTGACCTCCAAAACCACAGACAGCTATGCACACACACTGAGGAAAATGATTCCTGTATCATATCCTTGTCACAGCCTGGCTATGTGTCACAGCTGCGGGACTTCTCGGAGCCTTTAGAGCAGTTTCTGTGAGCCTTCAGCAAGGGACATTCTTTTGAACCCAGTTTAACCTTAGAACACCTTCACAGAGCCTGCAGCAGTTCCCGTGTCCCATAGGACACTGGTCTGGGAAATTGTGGCTCAGCTGAAAGAGCCCAGATGGTTACTGTCTCCAGAGTCACCCAGCAGGCCAAGCTTAAATAGGGAGAATAAAGGAGGAGTGAGAGGGAGAAAAGGAAGTTGCAAGAGAAGATCCTGGGGCTGCAGAGTCTATGACTCAAATCTACCTGCAGAGGCAAGGTTTGAGGAC